AATTAACACTCCAGTTTTGAAAATCTGGCATGCAACTTTTTTCCTGGACCATGATATCCAGGCATTGATTAATAAAATGTAGTGGAGGGTGAATATTTTTTTGCTGCGTCATTAGTCTGGTTTACTGTAGCTGGACTCATTATTGAAAACTCAATACTCATGGCTCAATTTAGAGTTGATAGTATTCTCTGGTTTCTCCTGTGTATGCCAATACATTTATGACCTGATTTTTCCAATGCTAAAACAAAGATATGAAATGTAATCAAGCTCAGCCAAGGTGGTTTTTATATGCAGGGACTTAAACAGGAGGTAATTGTTGATCTTGTTGGTCAATGCCGTACTTACAGACAAAGAGTGGTGCATCTCGTGAACACAACTGCGTATGTTCTCTCAGTTATGTTTTCCACATTTTCTGTGTTTATAACAGAAGTACAATGGACAAAGATCGGACTAATCTAGTTTCCTTGCTGTAAAAGTCATTTTTTTGAGTCAACATCTAAATTTGTATCACAAAAAGATGAAAGCTTAGCACATTTGATTCACTAGAATTGAGTAATAATTCTTATTCTTATGGTTCTTCTCTTGTTTATCTTTTCACCTTTTTCATTGCATTTCTTCACGGAGGTATTTGAGTTAATATTGTCAGTGGTAGCTACGCTTGTCTATCACATGTAACATGAAGTATTCTAATTGGCATATGCTACTTTGCGAAATTTGGGCTACTTGACTGTTCTCGTCATTTTCAAGATTGCAGTCTTTTATATTTTATGCTGTTTGTGACAGAGATGAGGAGCTGCTTAGTCAAGGACTTGCTCTGAATGATGATTTGCAGAAGGTACTTGCGAAGCATGATGCTATTGCTGCAGGACTTGCTGTTCGTGTGGAGAAACGAAAGTCACTTCAGACACTCGTCAATATTGATGATTCTTCAGCAAGCAAAGAGCCACAACAGAGGTGGGTTGGCTTTCTTTTAAGTAATTTGCTATTTACAAACTGTGCACTATATTTTTACACCATAGAAATGCCCATGCAAAGTTAAGAGGAAATCTGAACAGCTTTACTGAAAACTGTTTAAATTTCTAAGAACAAAATTTCTACTGAGGATGCACTTCTGTGATTGGCTTGGATGTGTTGTGGTGGTTGTACAAGTTGATCATTGTTGATCTCTTTAAAGCCTTTTGTTTAGTTGATTTATTTTTAACCAATCTATTTTATTTAAGATTGACCGTTAGAACATGTTATACTTATGAGTGGAATCTTCAACTTTATCAGTAGAATTTATTTCTGGCTTACATCTATAGTGCTTAATGAGGCTTCCTTTCATGACCGACTTTGATGTAGGCCATCAAGTACAAGCACAAGTAACCAGCCTCCTCTTCAGCAACTATTGCTGCCTGCTCCTCCATCCGATGGTGCAGGAACCACTTCAGTGAAAGTTGATCCCAATATGGACCTTCTTAGTGGCGAGGACTACAATAAACCTACAACAGAGAATCTGCTAGCTCTTGTTCCTGTCAGTGAACCACTCAACATATCTGCTTCGGACCAGAATGTCTTGGCACTCGCAGACATGTTTTCTCCAAACGACTCTACCAATAACAACAAAAATCCTGCAAACTCTTTTGATTCAAATTCTACATTTCCAACGCAACAGACATATCCTGCTGTATCGAACCTTCAGCAGCAGGCTCAGCAGACACAACAGCCTCAATTTTTTACTAATGGAGGCATCCCAAACTCAGGGGCACCTCAATTTGAGCAGTCAAGTCATGACCAGGGAATGCAGCTCAACCTGGCAACCACTCCATGGAATGGTCAGTTTGCTCCAGCATATAATCCACAGCAGCAGGCACTAGGTTATGGTAAGACCATTGTCTTTTCCTCTAAAACTTTATAATGCTCTTTTTCCCTGTAATTTTGCCTATATTTTGTTACAAATGTATTCTTCAAATGTTTTAGGTTTTTTTAGTCAATTGATTGTTCTAAAAAACCAACAGGATAAATAAAATGAAAAATATCACTTGTTTGTTCTGCAATTAGCATAAACCTATGCCAGAGGAAAAATTACACAAATATGGCTATAGGACAAATAATATATTATGGATCAGAATGTCGCATAGTTAAAATTATGTCATATACTGAAAGTACAATTTAAACTAACAATGCCAAAATGGATGAATGACATTATACAGTAGATACAATAAAAAATGATGTGCTTTTACTAAATTAGAGGTAGCTCTAGTTGTTGTAAGGATGAGAAAATATTATCTATGGTGGTCAGAACATACACAAAGCCAATTGTCATATGCACCAACAAAAAATGCCATTCAATCTGGATTTAAATATCTAGAAAGAGTTATAGAGGTGGACAAAGGAAAGTTTATCATCAGTAATAAAAAAAGACACCAGGGCTATCCTTAATGACAAGAATCTTGCAGAAGCCCCGTCACACTCTTTTTTAAATTTACATGATTTGGATATCTTTTGAAGAATCGGATTTCTAAACAATAGCAAAGCCATAAGTCTCAACTAGAAAAGGTTGAAAGAATCAGATTTCTAACATTTGGAATAATGACTCTTAATATCTGGAACTACATTCCATTTTATCTTGAATTGTATTATTTATCATCACCTCTCTCCAACACAACAAAACTTAGATCTAAAACCATATTTTGCTTTATGTATAAGTTGTTGAACACAAATAAATTGAGAAAAAAATTTAAATAAAGTGTTGATTTTTGAGTCTTCTTTTCTCAAGTTTAAGCATATTATGTTTGATAAATGCACAGATATGTGTGTGCTTATGTATATAAGGGGAGAACAGTGCAAAAAACCTGCCACCAATGTGGGATTTTGGAAGGATCAATATACATCGGCTTACCCCTACATGCAAAGTGACTTTCTATAAGTCAAAACATTTGTAATAGTTGAATGGACCCTGTTAACTCTCATAGAGGATTTCCTTTACCATGTCACCAACTATTTGAAGATAAACACAAATATTTATATGTATGTAGCTATATACATATATGTATATTTCTACATGTGAACGTGTAATAAACATCCATACATATACCATAGCATGTACACATGCTTTTTATCTGTTTCATACCCCTGCCCTTTTGAAGCTACCTCTTGAACTTGTATCTGTGGCTCTGTGCTTGCACCTTCTTCAAGTTGTTAGGGTTGTTAAAAGGTGATACCCCAGTATTTTTTAATAGTAAAAAAGGATTTCTGTAGGCAACTTACACAGTTGGAATAGAAGGCTTTTTGTCATCGAGGTTGGCAGTTTAAGCACAATTGGTTGGAGAAAAAATATGAAAAGTGTTTTTTTATATTCTTTTTATTTGTGCTTCAAAATCATTTCACTGGAGTTCTCTATCTGCTACATTGCTTGGCTTGATTCTTTTTAGTTTTATGCCCTTTTGTATGAGTGTCGTCTGAATTTTACAGATGCAAATGATCAAAGTGGAGCTCTTCCCCCACCGCCATGGGAGGCACAATCTGTGCAGAATGAAATGCCTGGCTTGCAGCATCAACCACTTCAAACTGATCAGCTTAGTGTGCATCCCTTATCAGTGCAAACTGGTCAACTCCGGGGCATGCAAGCTCAACCCATGCTCGGCAGCCAGCTCGGAGGCATGCAATCTCAACAAACGTCAGTCGGTCAGCTTGTAGGAATGCCTCCACAACATATGATGGGCCCCCAGCTTACTGGGTTGCAACCTCAGGTTGTCCAGGGCGATCAGTTTGTAGGCATGTATCCTCCAATGCAGAACAGCCAGATGACAGCCATGTATCCGCCACAGATATTCGGAGGTCACATGGTTGGTATGGGTCAACAGCCTATGCAGGGTACAGGCTATGGGTATGGGCAGCAGCCGGGTGCTCAATTCTATGATCCAATGAGACCTACATACCCTTATTATACTCCAAATGCACTCGGGCAGACAATGTATGGGCTTTCGGTGCAAGATAATAACACGTACGCGAGTAAGGCTTCGTCATATCAGATGCCCACATCCTCATCTTATCTGCAGAATTCGAACAAACCATCAAAGCCTGAGGATAAGCTCTTTGGTGATCTTGTTAGTTTGGCCAAAAACAAAGCTAAATAAGCCTCTACTCCTAAGGTCGAGATATTGTAAAATCAGTGTGGAACTGTTTCTTCACACATTTTTTTTTTTTATTTGATATGCTGGTTCTGGTACTTGCTTTCCTTACATGTATTATCTCTTTCTGCCTCCTCATTTGTATGATGTCCTTTTCTTTTAATCATGTACATTTAGAGGGGAAAAGGATAAAGGTTGATTAGAAAGATTTAAGATACTTTTTTTGGTTATGTTCATGTTTGATGATTCAGAGATCAAAATATGAGTCCATACAGTGCTTCCAGCAAGCACTCACTTTTTCTCTCTATGATGCTGTAATTACTTGATCTCCCGGTGACAAATATTGTGTACTAATGTTAAGATATATTAGAGAATCCATTGCATTTAGTCTCTAAGATATTGTGGCCATTATGTTGATGACAATTTTGTGAACTTGTTATATATAAATATATTGACCGATTTACTAATTAGATTGTTTAAGTCTTAGAAAGACTAAAATGTCCTTAATTCTTCTTTTATGATAATGAAAAATTTTATTATAAGAGTGAAATGGAATAATCATCCTTTTTTTTTAATAAAAAAAAGAAATCAGAAGTGGACGATGTACACACACAAATCTAATACATTAGTTATCTTTAGTATTTCGATCTCTATATTTTAAAAAATATATTTAATCCGTTTATCTTAGTTACGTCCGACGAAAATAAAAAATAAAAAGATAATTTTAATTAGTGTTTAATTAGCCATGCAATACACCGAGATCGCAGAATGTACGAGGCATATTCCTTGTTCGTGTGAGATGCAGTGCAAGATGCGTCTGCCAGACGACAATCTTATCGTTCCACACTCTCGTTCACTTACGTTTTTGTTTCTGGTTCTCTTGATTGTCTCAATTTGCTTCTGTGCTAGGGTTCCTCCTTCGGCGAGAAGTTACTCGTGGTAGTTTTGTTCAGATTGCAACACGCCTCGAGCGTCGGCTGATACCGATTCTACAGCTGCCTCTTCTACCACATGGGTGCCATGGTTGCAGGTGACAAGTTTGCTTCTGGGCATCTCGCCTATTCCTGCTATTTTATTTGCTCTCTCTATCAAGTTTTACGCTAGAAGTCCGATGTGTGTGTTTGCGCGCGCACTAGCATTTCATCCTTTTTAGTTTGATAGCTTCTCGTTGCTCTACGAATTATTCTCATATTTTAGAATAAATCATAAGTTTTAAATCATATAAACTTATCCATCTACTACATAGGTTTGAGTTATATGCTATCCACAGGCGAGAAAAAAAAATTAAAAATATAAATTAAAATTATATCTCATGTACCTACTAAACTTCTAGATGGAATAATATTGATAAAAAAATTTAAGAATTCACAAAAAGAACATGACAATGGCAAGTTTATCAACAGGGTTAAATCAAGTACAACCAAGGAATGCTGCTCTTTAAGATCCCTCTTCAAAGGCTTTTTGTCAGGAGGTATACATGCTTGCAGGTTGCTGCACAGTAAGTACAAAATGGAATCTTTCACCACCAACTCTTTGTTGCAAGCATCAAAGATTCCCTTGGCTGCTGGGTTAAATTCCAGCTTGATCTCCACACTTTGGGATCTGCTAAGCTTTGTTGGAACTTATTTCTGACATACCAAAGGTCTCTTCATGCTAGTGAAAGCTTATGGTGTTTGAATCTTAATGGATTCATTCCAAAAATTGTCTCATGTACTCATCACCATTGCACTCCTAGGAGAGTTGTGTCTATTTGTCAGGCAGGACATGAGGCCTCAAATCTAGTTTATAATGTTGGTATTAATGAATTTTTTTTTAGAAGCTCTTGCCTTGATGTCTGATATTAAAAAAAACATCATACTTTTGAGTGCTTCTGGGATTTATCAAGTGTATGAAAGAGATTTTCTTTTTCAAGATTAATGTAAGAGGTTATACAAAAGATTTTATGCCTCGGTTTGAATTAATTTCACAAAGGTTTTTTTTTTCTTATATCATTTCATATAATGAAAATTTTGAGTTTGTCTCCTAAGATATAGACAAATGAAACATCCATGTAAATCTTATGTTTTGTTATTTTTTTGGAATGTATATTTTATTTGATTGATTTTTAGGATTTTTTTATGTGGGTTTCTTCCCTACAGAGTGGTATATATCAGATTTAGATAGTTAATCCTCTGGAAATCTTGCATCAAATTTTATAAAAGAATCATAATCACTTAAGTTGCTGCATTACAATTTTTGATGCATGATTATATTCAAATCTTGTAATCAAAATGGTGTACAGGGCAGCTTTCTTCTATGCATTTCTATTGCAGTGCTTATGTTTACACTTGATCCTGGAGTTTTTAGAACAAAATATAGATATCTTTCCACCATAAAATTGATGAACACCTATATTATGTCAATTGTTGGTGGAAGAAGGAATCATTCCTTGTTCCTCTTTGTTCCTCAGGAATATGCCCTTTGTAAGCTATGGAGCAGATGACAGAAGTTTCACAATCACAATGTAATGCTAATTTGTAGCTATGCATCTAAAAAAATAGTATGTCTCATGCTGTCCACTTGAAAGAAATAATAGAATGCATCCAAAGATGGAAAGATTTATACAGTTGTAAAAGCAGATATATGCCCATGAACAAGGGCAGAGATAGTGGATTGATTCTAAAGCTCAAGTCTTCCACTACTAAATTTAATGCTGTTTCAGCTGTATATAACATGAGTTTGATGTTTTTGGATGCCATTGGATCAATGATTAAAGAACAGAAGAAAACACCAGCTTAGAGGCCTCAGTCGAATCCTTTTAAGCCTCATGCTTCTCCATTTCCTGCAACAAGGGAAAGCTTTGGCATGGATTCACTCACTGTATCCACTGTGACTTGCAGCATTCGAAAGGCTCCTCACAAAGCAGCTCCTTTCAACTTCATGTCCTCACTCTCATCCTTCAAGGTTGACTCAACTAACAAAGCATTCGATTCTCCTCCTCAAAGATGGTAGTTTGACAGGTGATTGGATGTTCTTTTGCAGCCTGTTTTCAGACGATTGCAGCAACAATTTGTCTCATTAAAGGTTGAAGTTCCCAAGATCATAAAAACCACATCTTTGAATCTTTTAGATGGAGTGGTAGACTCGTTGTTCGAATTCGAAGAGCAAGCTGTATTCAATGAGGTATTCTTTCTCCAGAGAAACCAGACGGATGAATTATGGCGTAGACAGCAGAAGTCTCCGTGTCTGATGATACTATCATGAGGTGTTGCAGGGGAACTTTGCGCCTGTCGACGAGGTAGGAGAAGCTCTGCAGCTCTCAGTCATGGACGGGGAGATTCCGGATGATTTCCCAGAAGGCATCTACTTTAGAACAGGTGCTTCTGCTTCTCATCTTTGTGATGCATACTACCATTTACCAAGTCAAATACAAACTTAGATCACATGTAAGCAATCCTCAGTAATTTACTTGCATCATTGATTCAACAACATAATCGATGCAGAAATGCAGTGATCTGAAGAGATTACAACTGCAAGAAATATTATTAGTTCAAGCAAGTCTAAGTTATAGTACATGCCATCTTTGATTAATCGGTATGCTCATGTTGTTGACAGGTCCAAATCATTTGTACCCAAATCAGACAGCTGCAGTCTCCATCTTTGGCAGAACAGGCTACACATGGGTTGAAGGTGATGGAATGCTTCATGCCACATATTTCAGCAAGGATGATGAAGGAAACTGGAAAGTTTCATACAAGAACAAGTATGTAGAATCAGAAACCTTCCTCATGGAGAAGAATAGAAACAAAAAGATGTTCATACCTGCAGCTGACGGCGATCCGACCGCGATTTTAGCAGCTTTTGTTCTTAACATAGTAAGCCAGGATTGCCTCAGAGGTCTCACTAACATTATCTTGGTGAATTTTAGGCCACCAAAGTATTTCCAATGCATTTTGCAGATGAGGTTTGGGAAGGCAGTCAAGGATGATAGCAACACCAATGTGTTTGAGCATGCTGGAAAACTGTATGCAGTTTCTGAACAGCATCTGCCTTATGAGATTGATGCTTCTGATCTGCATACCCTAAAAGCCTGGGATGTCAATGGAGCTTGGCATCATCCCTTTACCAGTCATCCAAAGGTTGTGTGTCTCATTGTCATTAATACTGTGATATCTGTATGCTAAATTCATCTGATTGTATTGGTGTAGAAAGCTCCACATACTGGTGAGATGGTCATCATGGGTGTTGACATCAAAAGGCCACATTATATATTGGGAATCATATCAGGTAATTGAAGTATGATCCTGATAACAAGGATACGAGTCAAGCTTGAGAATACACTGATGCTTTCTTCCTTTTCTTCTCCCCCTAAGCTGATGGTGGTGAGATGCTTCACAAAGTTGACCTGAAGTTTAGGACAGGGAATCTGGTCCATGAGCTCGGTGTAACTGAGAAGTGAGCATTCTACTCTACATTATTTCATGTGTCATTAATTACCATGATCATATCGAATTTAGCTATGCTGATACCATCATGGACTTGTGGTCTTCAGCTACAACATCATCATGGACTACCCCCTCAGGTTTGGCATCAACAGAGTGCTTGCAGGCAAATCGTGAGTTCACTGAAGCTTTCATCCTTAGTATCGTAGCTGCGTTTGAATCAGATTCAATCATCTTCCATGTCCATGGATTTGCAGCTTCATAGGTTATGACGGAGATGGGGAATCAAGAATAGGAGTGATGCCTCGTTTCGGGGATGCAGAATCCATTTCCTGGTTCACTGTTAGAAACCACTGCAGCTTCCACATCATTAATTCCTTTGAGGATGGAGACGAGGTAGACTCCGACGCACGAACTGCTACTGGTCCTTTCCGGAGGTAGAAGATGACTTGTTGTAGCTGATGAATGAGTCCGCAACAGGTGGTTGTGAGGGGGTGTAGAACAACAGGATCAGTGCTCCCAGGCCCAGACCACAAGGCCAACAAAGCCGAGTGGTACCGAAGAGCATATCTGCAACCCAATGAGGACTCTCACAGCTTCGATCCTGCCACGGATGGGGTCCTCTTTTCTCGGCCTTACCAGTGGAGACTCAACATGAGAACCGGTGCAGTCAAAGAAGGATACCTCACGGGGAAGGAGATCGCCATGGACTTCCCGGCAATCAACCTCAGTTTCACTGGACTGAGGAACCGCTACGCATACGCTCAAGTAGTGGATTCAGAAGCAAGCTCAAAGCTAGGTGATGATCATCAAATCCTACGCAACCTAAGCTCGTGATCTAAGAATCGGTGTCTCTTCTGCAGGTCTCTCGAAATACAACATGCTGGCGAAGCTGCACTTCGGATTGCAAGATGAGGTTTCGAAGTTTCTGACGAAGAAGGGATTAATGGTGAGCGATCATTTGCTGCTTACTGACTGTGTGTTCGACTCGATGCCTGTCTCAGGACGACGAGGAGTTGGCGAAGGTCGAGTACCATGAGCTCGGCGACGGTGAGTACTGCACCGGGGCTCAGTTCGTCCAGAAACAAGAGGGAACAGAGGAAGAAGACGATGGATGGTTGCTTTGCTATGTTCATGATGAAAGATCAAACATATCCAAAGTAGCACTTCGATCTTGCTTGGATTTAAAGATTTGTGAAGGAAGATTTGGTGATTAGAGTTTGTGCACGTTTGCAGGTGTACGTGATTGATGCGAAGAGGTTCACCGAAGAGCCAGTGGCCAAGATAAGTTTGCCCCGCAGGGTTCCCTATGGTTTCCATGCTTACTACGTGTACGAGTAAGAAACTCGAGATCAGTTCATGAAGAACTGATGTGTTGATGTGGCATTGTGGTTTTCTTATGGCTTCAGAAATCATTCGAGAATAGTTCGAAGCTTTTATAGGGAAATCCAATCCAAAAGGAAAATAGAGTTACTATTTTCTCTTGTTTCTTAACATTCGATCTCATATTGATCGGGGAGTATAAGAACCAATAGCTCATAATTCTTAAAGCTCAGAAACGATAAAATTGTACGAGTAAATCTATCGTCCAATATATATACGTAAAATAACTAATCATATATATTATAAATCTAATTGATAATAATATTCCTTTAAAATGATTATAATGGTGAGACTACTAAGGATATTATAAGTGCCTTAAATTAATATTTTTTATTATTGTTTTCTTCTTTTTTTATGAACCTTACATCATTAGTTAAAGTCCTAATAATCACGATTAATAGTTATTACCGTGCGTAATAACCAACCCAAGCCAAGTCACTTGACACGTGCAAGTGACGGCTCGGACCCACCGACGCGTTATAAATGGACGGCACGGACGGGTTTACCGCACACACACATACGCAACCTTCCCCTGTATCGAACTCGCACACAATTCCCACCCCTCGCGGTCGCATCAAACTCGTCGCTTCCACCGTGTCGTTCCCCTAAACCGATCCCCCTTCTCCGCTCTCTTCTCTCCCTCCGCTGTCCCTCCCCCAAATCCTTCCCCCGATCCGAGCCAGATTTATACCTGCTCGCCTTCAATCCAAGCCTTCCCGGTTTCTTCTGGGATTCCGTTCGATCGGTCAATCGTCTTCCTCTTTCAGGAAATATCGATCGACTAACGTTTCTTTACGGATTTTTCTGTTAAATCTTGTCGATTTGAAGGGTTTTATACTTGATCGGGGCTGCGGTTCGTCGCAATAGATTTTCTGGTAGTCGATTTCTGTTGCGAGGCTCGGATTTTCGGGGGGGCAGGACGTTCTTGGTCTTTGGTTGGCCGATTTGAGCGTGCTTTTAGGGTTGTCGTCTGGATCTTGTGGGTGGAAGAGGTTGGTCAATATGGATCAGAGCCGGAGAGCTGTGGAGTCCTATTGGAGATCTCGCATGGTTGATGGAGTGACCTCGGATGAAGATAAGGTTGCTCCGGTGTACAAGTTGGAGGAGGTCTGCGAGCTTCTGCGAACGTCCCCGGCCAGCATCGTGAAGGAGGTATCGGATTATATTCTCAAACGGCTGGATCACAAGAGCCCAATTGTTAAGCAGAAGGTATTAGGTTATATGCATTCTCTTTTCTCCCCTTCGTTTTTGAGTTCTCTCGCAGTAATTCAATATTTGTGTTGTTTGATATTTATATGATATTGCATGGTGGGATGATAGATCATTCTTTTTCCCCGTCACTACTCTTGTGAATTAAGCAAATCATGACAAATTTCTTTCTATATATTACACAGTATAACGCTTCCTATATATCAAACAAGCATGCTTTCCTCCTTTCTGTCTTTGTGGACTCATAATTCTCTGCATGCATAGCGTGAACAGATTTTATAAGTAAATTTCATTTTATTTTTCTCCACACAATATAATGATTCCTATATATCTCACTTATAACAAAAAATTATGGTGGAAAATGTATAATTGTGTATCTTTGTCCAGAGTGTTCTATCAATGAGATGGTAATCTAGTCAATGTGCTCACAAACAAATTTATACTGTCGCATTAAAGAATTGATCCCTGTTTTATTTCTCCCAAGGCTCTTCGGCTGATCAAGTATGCAGTGGCAAAATCTGGAAATGAGTTCAGGAGGGAAATGCAAAGGCACTCGGTCGCAATGCGTCAGCTGTTCCATTATAAAGGTCAGTTAGATCCCCTGAAAGGAGACGCCCTTAATAAGGCTGTTCGTGAGACTGCTCATGAGGCAGTTGCGGCTGTCTTTGCTTCCGATGACAACAAGACAGTGGCACCCACACAAGGCCTTGATAAGCGCATCCAAGGCTTTGGGAATACAAACTTTGAGTTTCAAGCCGAAGAGAAAAGGTCGTTTCTTAGTGAAGTGGTTGGTCTTGGTAGTGCCTCCATCAGGCAGGGACTTAGCACCATTGCTGCTGCTCATTCTTCGAGGAAAAATGACACTGGCAGTTATAAGAGCCCAAACCTACGTAGATCTTTAACAACAGAAATAGACAGTCCTAATGGATATCAAGGAATCGAACACCACGGAGAAAGTTGGGAAGGTTCTGGTATCTCAAAAAGAAACTCTGGAACATGGGGCCCTGATTCGAGACTGAGCATATCCACTTCTGTGGCAAATGAGGACACGAGTTCAACTAACACAGGAGCAAAGAGTCGTGAGGAACGGCTTTTGGAGACAATTGTCACATCTGGAGGTGTACGTCTGCAACCAACTCGTGATGCTTTGCAGGCTTTTCTTGCAGCGGCTGCCAAATTAGATGGAGTGGCCATGAGTCATGCCTTAGAAATGAAGCTCCAATCACATTTGTGGCAAGTAAGCCGACTAATCTATCATTTGTTCATTCTGAGTCTTTGTTGGTTACTTTGTTGGTTATTCAAATTATTTGTCTGCTTTATGTGTGAATCTAGAATATTGTGTGCAAGCTGCATCTATCAAACAGTGGCATGCTGATTGAAACATAGGTTTTTTTTGTATGTTTTTTAGTCACTTCATTAGAGATGTTGGTCTAGACTTAGTCATTTCATTTACCTCGAGTAAAAAACTTCAGCAATGATGCTTTGCCCTTGTATATTGAATCTTGTATTGTAAAGCAGTGATTAGATATACTGGATGTTAGCAAATAGCTTTTGACATTGCATGTCTACAATGCTTTCCGCTTATATATTGAATCTGTAGAGTTAACCAGTGATTTAGAGATATTGCATGTTAGCAAATAACTTTTATGTTGCTGTTGGTGAACAAAAGGGGAATTTGTATTGTCTGTGTGCAATCTTATCCATATGACATGTATGCCATATGGCATCTTCAATCATCATCTTGCTAACTTATTCTTATTTTGAATTCAAAAGAGGCTTATTTATGAATTTTCTTTGACCTATAAGGGGTACAAAAATTGTATGGTTATGTCATGTTAAATATTTGACTTAGGTATGTCAGTGAACTTACTGATGGAGTTTGCAACGGTCAGAGTATTTGGATAGATCTTAATTGGCTCAAACTGACTCAAAATGACAAGTAGCAAAATGAGACTATTTGAACATGCATTAATATTGCTCGTCATTGTACATCACCCCATACTTAATCTTCTCTTGATGAAACTCATTCTCTGAATTCTGAAGTGAATTAAAGGGGTCTTGTCCAAATCCATGTTTTGTATAAGGATAATTGTTTCAAGAAGTGACGAAACTAACTTAAATGTTATTTGAAGTTTGCTAAACCGGTAAAATTTACATGGTTGTTTCAGGTAAGGATGAAGACTATTTGTGTCCTGGAATCAATTTTAAAAACAAAAGATGATGAACACTTCTTTAGCATAGTGTCTTATTTTACCGAGAACAAGGATTCTGTCGTCAGATGTACAGAGCTACCACAAGCTTCTTTGAGGGAGAAAGCAATCAAGGTACTCTTTGTTCATATGATTTCTTTTTGTTAGAATGTTGAAGTGGCTTTCCTAGTACTCAACTTATGTCTTTATATTGTTAATCACTTTCCTAAGCTGGATTCATGGTATGATCTCTCATGAATGCATTCTTACATTCTATTCCACATCAGATGGTTGCACTTTGCATAACAAGTTAGAAAGTGAGAGTGATGAGTAACTTATGGGAAAAAATGATGTGGAAAAGATTTCTCTCAAAGCCATAAGAGATCAGAGTTGCATTCTTGATCAGCGGTTCTTAATCTATACTTTGCTCTTTTGGTCACTGATTTTGCAAGTCAGTTATCTTGTTGATTTTATTTGGTCTTTTCACTTCCACTTGTGTGAAAACGATGCCTATATAATTTAGTACTTAAATATTCTCATTGGATACTTCGTTTTTGATTCAAAATGGCAGAAAGGTTGACTCTGAAAATGGTTATCTTAATTCCTAGTTTCAGTTGGTTGTGATGAGTTTATCAATTACTCTTAATTACTTTATATGCAGATGAATGAAGTTCCTGGATGTATTACAAAATGATTCAATGAACAATTGATTTGGGAACACAATTCACCATAACTGTTATTGTTTCTTGATTAATTTTCATATCATTTTTGTTTCATCTCTAGCTTTGAAGCTTTATAATCTTGTTGGTGTTAATAGCCCATTCAAATTAAGGTTTGAAATCTCGGTTTGATACTGATATCAGTCCATGTTTAGACTAGTATGCTGCCATTATTGACTTGTATCGAGTGTTAGAATGGTTGGTTCTAGCTATGAATCACTCCAAACTTACATCTACATTGTCTCATGTGTGTTTGCATTGATAATGATTCTATATGTGTTTGACTTATTTTAAGCCATACATCACAGATGTATGTTATAATGCACGTGTCTCAACTAGTCCAAACATCTGTACGAGAGACAATGTGAACTATTGTGTGAATCAAGAAGAAAGTGGACCAATTTTGCTTGTAATTGCTAGATGATGTGGTCACACAATTTTCTTCAAATAAGGTTTGGATCCTTTATATTGCAGCCATTACTCTCAGCTGAAAAATTACTATTAAAAACATGTTTATTCATGTTTAATTCAATAACATTGGATTAGTATAAAGTGAAGGGATTGTGTTTGCTATTTTTTTGTTATCAAGGTCCATATTGTATCAATAGGAAATGGAAGTGTTCTCACAATAAAATTAAAAAACCTCATAAAACAGATTCCACTAGAGGTAGGATTATGGATCAGTGGTGACATAAAAATTCATAACTTCATGGCTGTCTACCTCACTATGGCAATGGCTGCACTTTCTATATGTGGTTCCAATCTATTGATGATGCCACAAAGGGCATAAAAATGTGCATTGTTAGTGGCAAGGTTCACAATTTCAGTACTGGTACTATACCAGAGTGCTTGGACCGGTATTGTATTGGTCCATGATGGTGTACCAAGTGTTGGTACACTAGTATGATTTAGGAAAAAGCATAAAGAAAGCTAAAAAAAGAAACTCCTGCTGCAGAGCCTGTACCAGGTGTGCCAAACAGGACAGACCCTGTACCGGATGGTACAAGTCCGTGTTCAGTGCATACACGGATCTGGATAACTTGCCAGTGTCATATCAACATATTGAGAAGCAGGACTCCAACTTGTACCATTCTGTATTATGAAATAAATAGTAAAATCTTGTTGTCCTGAGTGGCACTGTACTGTTCAGCATTGCATGGTTGGACTAGGAAATAGATGTTGTTATAGTGGTTCAGCTGGCATTTTGACCATGCCTGAATTGCTATTTTCACAAGTTTTTTTGTCATGCAGCTTGTGCCTAGTTGGCACTAAAATTTTGCTTTATATGTACCACTTTTGTCACCTTCTGTAGGTAGGGATTCTGGCACAAGTCTTTAACATTATCCCAGCAAGACCTTTGAGTCTCTATTTGTTCTACATTTTTTGTCTTAGTCCTGTATGGTGGTTAGTTTCTTAAAGTATATAAGCTCAGCTGATAAGTACATTGATATCAGTTTTTCTCTTGCTCAGCAAGCTATTTTTTAATATCTGGTTCACTTCTGATGCAGATGCTGTTTGCAGTGTTATATCCTTCATGTGTAGTGTAACTGTGACTGGCATGAGTCAGAGTCAAAGAATTATGAAACTTACATTAAGGACCTACTACTTTGGAATTACTTAATGTTGGAAAATCACCTTATATAGAATTAGTCTAAAAATGTCCAAGCATATATGTGATTGAATAACTAAGCCAAAATGTTAGTGGATCTATAGAAAAGATATCTTTTCTTTTCCATGGCTCAAGTCTTTTCTTTTTACCTTTTTGATGAGCAGATGGCTTTTTAGTATATTGAAATTTGTAATGCTTGCTTCGAATCCCCCTGACCTCCATGGATCCAAGTTATATTTAAAATTATCCTAGAGGATAGTAACTGATGTTGAGGTTGTAAAATAGGTTCTGCAAATAAAATACTAATGGTAAATTGGAACCTGTTTAAGCATTAAATTGATTGCTGTATAAACAATACTTGAACCCATCCTTTGAAGTTCATTTTCTGTTTAATAATGAAAAGAGAACTTTTCAGTGAGAGGAGGGGGTGTATTTAAGTACGGCTTCTTGTTAGTAAAGCATGGACATGAATGTTGCTTTAGATGTGAGATGGTAATTATGTACAAGTTTGAAGAATCTTTAATAACCACAATGTTTATAATAGATATTTTAACTGCATATCTCTTTTCTATTCTTCAGGTATTAAGTCTTCTTGGTGGTGAGCAAACTTCTGGAGCAAGAGAGGAGACATCGGATGGAAAAGCTACTTCTGCCCCCCCTGTTGTTCAAATGCCTGACTTAATTGATACTGGTGACTTTGATGATTATGGGAGTCAAGATTCCATGGAGACGCAGGGCAAGCAAAGTACAGCAGAGTTGAAGCCATCAAACTCTTTGGTAGACGATCTGTTTGCCAGTGATCCTCTTGCTGATATAAACACTTCTGGCAATAAAAATCAAGATGATCCATTTGCAGATGTGTCTTTCCATGTGACTGAGGACAAGGAGGGGAATGACCTTTTCTCCGGATTGACAGTTGATGATAAGAAGTCGGATATTGTTTTAGATGTTCCTGAAATTAAGAAGCCTGACTTGCTTGATGTTTTTGGTGCATATTCTGTTCAGCACCAAGAGGAAGCAGGAAAGGATAGAGGCAACATGCATGATTTGATGACTGGGTTGTCTCTCAATGGAATCCAAGAAAATGAACCACCTGGATCAGTGGGAGCATCTGCTGCTTTCTCTGGACTTGGAATGTTGGCCAGTAGCACTCAACCAAGCCAGGTACCTGCAAATGGGTCTATGAAGAGTAATCAGGATTTGAACTCTGTCTATTCCCAGGCTCCTATGCAGTATGGCATGCCTCCAAATATTATGTTCAATCAAGGTTTTGTTGCTCAGCCAATGAACTACGAGGCGATGAGTGCATTCATTGCCCAACAGCAGTTTTTATTGCAAAACATTGGAAATCTCAACACTGGATTTGGACAAACAGCTGGGAATGCTATGGAGGGAAGTTATGCTGCACCACTTCCTGATATTTTTCAACTTTCAAATAATCCAGTAAAAAGCCATGCTTCAACTACGAAAAGCCCAAAGGAGGACACTAAAGCTTTTGATTTCATAACGGTAATGATTCTTCTTCCTGTTGTGTTTAGTTGTTCCACTAAAATCTTTCATTGTCTGAACTACTCTGATATATGCTTTTGTTATAGTCTAATACATGAGGGCGTGAGTAGAACTATTCTTAACATATAATGTGTAAAATTTCTGGTGAAGACACTTTTGATTATTATAATAATTATATTATTCTGAGTTACACTTATTTGTTCTTACACATTTCTATCATATTAGTAACTAATAATATGCTAGTTTCTGGAATCAATTCTAGTAGAATGAGAATCTAAATTCATCATATAGATGCCAAGAATCCAAGGGGATTAGTTAATTTTTAGATGGATCTTTTATTAATGCTTTTGAGTGTAGAAGTAGTAATCTTTTAAGGAATGGTGCACATGGACCTCATGACATTCCAAGCTCTGATCTGCTTGCCATGCTCTTCCTATTGGAAGTTAAATCACGTTTGTTTCTTGTGGCAGGATCACCTTGCTGCAGCTCGAGGAGGTTCAAAAAGGATTACATGATGATGCTGTTATTAACCTGTGGAAAACTGGAGATCCTTCCGCTCCAAACAGATCACTGCTGGTTTGGTCAATATTTCTCAATGCCTCAAGCGACATGAGCTTCATCCATTTGTTAGTTTCACGTTGTATCTGCAGTACAGCTAGAAACATGCTTGGTTATAGAAAGGGTTTTTGTATTCTCCTTGTGTATGAGTTAATATTCACTTTCAAATGTTTATTCTCTCCCGTCGGTCAATAAGTTGTGGTCGAAGAAGCTTAATCTCTTCCATTGGCCTTCGATATATTAACTACTGAGATGAACTTAAATGAACTAAAATGTTTACTTTCTCTCTTCCGTTTGTTTTAATTTTGAAACAGCAGGATTATTAGATTAGCTGGTTTTGCCAGGAGATCAATTTTTCTTCCTCATGCGATTTTGTCTCATACTAGCATTTTTTTTTTCCCTTATTTTCGATCTGTGATTTCTACTGAACCCGCTTGAAGATTGGATAAACGCGGCCTGTGGTTTTACTAACTCTGAATTAACTTAAATTACCGATTCGATATTGATTTTAATAATATGATAGTTCAATTTAGTATCGAGATATCATCCGACGTCTATTTTAGTTCATGTGATTTTGAATTGTTCCCATTCTTTATAGAAATTCTCTTTTCTATCTTTGTTAATCACGTTTTGGCTTTCTATCCTGATCTAATACAATTTGAGATTTGATATATATATATATATATTCGACCTTTCCTGTTTTGATACCTCGTTCGTACAAAGGCTGGACCCCATTTCACGTGATCCTTGTCATCATCGATATTTAATATTTGTTCCATGGGCAATTCAGCCGAAACTTCACAGAAACATACACGGCGTACCCAAATCTTTTCACCCGTTCAAGGTAAACCCATCCGTTTATCCACTACCTATATATATCAACAGCGGCTCGCAGCCACACGATTCGTTTTGATTGCTTTTGATCCGTGCTCCTGGCCGTCTGATTTGTCAACTCTTTCTTCCGACATGTGCCTGCCGCTATGCGGTTAGAACGCTCAGGCTTAGTCGGTGACAATTCTTCTGTGTGCCCTCTGGAGGATGGGGTTCTTCATTCTTGTGGTTGCATTCTACTGCTTGCCCTCTTCTCCGGTGAACTCAGAGGTCGTAAGATCGCAAGGGAGAGGTACTCTCGATCTCCTAATACTCTAGCTAGTCCAAAGGAAAATCTTCGAGCTTTGTGTGCCTGCTTCAGCCCTCTGGAGGATGGGGTTCTTGATTCTTGAAGGGGCTTGTGTTCTGTAGCATGATTGCTAAGTTGAGGTTGTCGACCAGACCCCTTCTTTTTATTTTACAGGCTCTGGTTTGTGATGCATTGCTTTTGGGCAATGCGTGCAAGTGATTCCCGAGCATTTGAGTTCAATTATGCTCCGTTGTCTTCTACTTTTCTGGATCTGTTGCCTCTCTTTCTAGGGTTAGTTGTTTCTCCGCCTTTGGGTGTTTTAAGTTGGAACCTACAATTGATGTTTGACCATTCAGATCCAGGCCACAGAAGAAGAAGGAGAAATTTCCAACTCAAGACACCATGCAAGTTCTCGACTGTTAGATCCTGGAAGTGGATGCATAATCCCTTCAGTGGATGATTATGCCTGGTTATCATTTGTGTAGTCCTGAAAAAAAGGTTGCTTGATCGGAGAGTTCACTAATAATTAGGTGTCAACTGTTTAGTTCTGAAACCGCAATACATGGATAAGTCGGATTTGTGGGTACTTTATAGTTCATTTTCTTTCTTCTTTTTTTTCTGACAGAATCCTTGCCTAATTACTTATGCACATCTTTTCGCTGTGAGGTATGAACCACTGGGCTAAAGCCTAGTTTATGAAAGCATATGAATTGTTAAGCATCCGAATGAATAATCTTGATATCAGTTTTTGAACTGCTTGAAATTACTCTAAAATAAATCTGAGCTCTCAACTGGATCAAGTGCCAATATGAACTTGTGGTATCTTTGCATATTGTGTTCCTTGCTTAATGAATTTTGTGCCCTTCATCATTTTCAGGTCATGGAAGGTGAGTTTTTGTGAGATCAATATGGTTCAATTGCAAAAGCCATGGGTTGCCACAGTACAAAGAGTGGTCTTGGTGATCGCGATAGCCCTTTCTGTTTTAGTATTTCAGACTTTCATGCTCTCCTCTAGAACTGCTCTGTCATCTCCATTCCGTGCCTTTAGTGACCCTGAAACTGAAGGAAGGAGTTCATTGAGCACTGTATCTTCTTATCGCTCATTAAGTGTTGGAGAGCTCTCTCTTTTAAGTGATCCAAGGAATTCGACTGGAACATCTCCGGTTGATGTACGGACTGGTGAGGACGATATGTTGGATGATGATGAAGATGATATCGACCTGGGTGAGGACGAAGAACCAGAGAGCGAGTTCTCATTTGACCTTGGAAATGGGGTTATACTGAAAAAGGTTAGGGACCCAAATGGTGGTTTCATCAAACTTGAAAAGGTAGTTGATCCAAATTATTTTCCTTCTACGGAGAAGGTTGGGGAACCAGCTCCTGGTTATTCATTTTCTTCAGATGGCAAACATAATGCACCTTTAGTCTCTGATCAAATAAAAAATTTCCATAATGAATCGGTTTCATCTGTAGCTGTATCATCACCATTAGATTCTCATGCAACTGACCCTCTGGTGGATTTGAGCACAAATACAAGTGATCCTATCAGCACAGTGACAACTAGTACTCCATCATCAGTAGAACAAGCAACTAAGATTGTTTCTTCATCTATAAAGCAATCGACAGAGACACTTCCAAAGGACAGTGCTCAGCTGGCTGGTAAATCCACCTCTTACAATAGCTTTGGGGGTAACTACACTCCAAAACGAAGAAAGAATAAGCGGCGAGCAATGCCACCACTTTCTATGTCAGAGATGAACAGCCTGCTGCTTAAGAACCATGCTTCATATCGTGCAATGGTTTGTTTTTCTCAGATTAGTATATTCCGAATGGGGAGAAGTTACTCTTGTGATTTGACCTTTTCCACATGTTGCAGAGACCTCGATGGTCTTCGGCTCATGACCAGAATATAATAGCTGCAAGGGCACAGATTGAGAATGCTCCTATTTCAAAGAATGATCAAGAACTCTACGAACCTGCTTTTCGAAATCTTTCCATGTTTAAAAGGCACTTTACTAATTGCTTCTCTCTTTACTAGTTTGTCTTTTGTACAGTAAATCAGTTGCTTCTGCATGGTCTTTATTTGACTTTCATGTCGAGAGTAATTCTTACCATTTAAGTGTTGTTCATGTCGGTAATTCGGGATGCTGAAAGGATGCAATTTTTGGTAACATTCCAATAACAAATTTAGTGATCAGCTATTTCTGGAAGAATAAACACTTTCTTCATGTAAAAATTGTTGAAAAACAAACAATTCATTGATGACCTTGGTTATGTCTTATATGTTCTTTTCAAATTCTACTTGAATTGGAAGTGATATTATCTTATATGTCTTATATCATTTGCTAAAAAGCCTGCTATATAACCATTATTGGAAGCTAGTTCCTTACTATAGTATCCTTACGCGTGGTCCTTTTCAGTTCCCAACAACGTATATACACCTTTGCATATTCTAGTAGATGAATTGCATATTAAATTCTTATATTTATCTTCACCTGCCTTTGTGTTTTATATCTTGTATGGACAAAGTGAAGGCACTAGTTACGAGACATTTTAGGTTCTGGTAACATATAAAAACAAACAAGACAATTTCTAGCAAGTGCTAGAGCATTTAATAAGCTTGCAAAGAATTGTACTTGATAGCACTAGTGCCTACAGGACACATCAATCAGCATATGTCTGATTCAGTGATGTCATGAAGATTCATTCAAAAACTTTCTGGAAGAAATTAATCAATTTCTTTTTTGTAATGATTATTTTTTATAACAATTGCTATCTGAAATTCAAGATCATTAACTCATTTATTACCTGAGATCCAGTTCCCTTTTTTTAATGTTTTGTATGTAATTTCATGTCCCTAATAAAAACATATTAGTTTCATCCAAAACCTGACCAAAGTCAAAATTATTTTGTAATATGCTTCCTATCAGCCATGTTTTCTGAGTGATTTATCTGCTACTTGAAACCACATTTGATTGCAGCCCCCCAGTTATGCTAGGATGTGCTGCTTCTTGTACTATAACTTCAATTTTATATTACAAACAACAGGAGCTATGAGCTCATGGAAAGCACGCTCAAAGTATATGTCTATAAGGAAGGCGGGAGACCCATATTCCATCAGCCTGTACTGAAAGGAATTTATGCTTCTGAAGGATGGTTCATGAAATTGATGAAGAGAAACAGACACTTAACTGTGAAGGACCCCAGAAATGCAAACATGTTCTACATTCCTTTCAGTTCTCGTTTCTTGGAGTTTGCTCTGTATGTGCCCGACTCCCACAACAAAAAGAACTTAGTCCAGTACTTGCAGGGCTATATGGACATGATTGCTGCAAAATATCCTTTCTGGAATAGAACAGGTGGAGCTGACCATTTTGCTGCTGCTTGCCATGACTGGGTAGGATTCAGGAAACTTGATCTCCAAAATACCAACACATTATTCAGGATCAGTTCAAATGTCTAATTTTGCTCTAGCATTAGATACTAATGTAGTCCCACTCTCTTAGGTTCTATATGTATCTTACATTATCATAGTGCTGCACTCATTTTCTGATGTGAACAGTTGACAGTTTGTTACCATCAAATATAATCCATGGTCAACATCATGCATCTTCTAGATATGTCATTTTAACTTTAAGGCAACAAAAATATATGTACATCTTTTGAAGCTAATGGATAAACATGATGCAAGTTGATAACAGTTAAATCGATTGAAACTATCTTATGCATTATAGCTGAATTTTCAATGAATGGTGCTCTCATGTTCCTCACCAGTAGTACTTCTGCAGGCACCATATGAAACAAGGCATACCATGGACAGTTCCATTAGAGCGCTCTGTAATGCTGATCTCCATGAAGGCTTCCGAGTAGGCAAGGATGTCTCTCTTCCAGAAACATTAGTCCTTTCACCTAAGAACCCTCTAAGAGAGCTTGGCGGAAATCCTGCCAGTGAGAGGTCCATCCTTGCCTTCTTTGCAGGAAACATGCATGGCAAGCTCCGGCCAATCCTACTGCAGCACTGGGAGAACAAAGACCCAGACATGAAAATCTTTGGTCCAATGCCTCCAGGAGTCAACAATAAGAAGACTTACATCCAGTTCATGAAGACAAGCAAATACTGTATCTGTCCTCGAGGTTATGAGGTTAACAGTCCACGGATAGTGGAGTCCATCTTTTATGAATGTGTTCCGGTGATCATATCAGACAATTATGTGCCACCTCTCTTTGAAGTGTTGAATTGGGAAGCATTCTCTGTTATCGTTCCAGAAGCAGATGTACCACGATTAAAAGAGATACTCATGTCAATCCCATTGAACAAGTACTTGTTGTTGCAGAAGGGGGTAAGGAAGGTACAAAAGCACTTCCTTTGGCATAATACGCCAGTGAAGTATGATTTATTCCACATGATTCTTCATTCCATCTGGTTCAACAGAGTTTTCACCATAAGAGCCAGATGAAGGATGGAGATCCTACAGAGGTATGCAGCTAATTATAATTATAAATACTTGGTCACAAGAAAAGAAGAAAGTAAATGTCTGGATGAAGCTTATTTGTAGTGAAATGTTTATAAATCCATGAGGTCAAATAGTGACGATTAGAGAAAAATCTTTTCTTTTGTATATGGATTACAAGATATGTAACAATATCCTCTCAAAAAACAAGGCATACATTACACTCAAAGTCATTGGTTCTGTACCTGTTCAACTGTTATTTATATAGCATATTGAATCTCTTGTAAGGGATGAATCTAAACTGAACCTGTTAGCCCCTAGCCAAGATTGTATTTTGGAAAAGGAACCAGCAATGAATGTTGTTCAATAATTTAGCCAGGCGTATCGGTTTCTAATATTGTATCACGCTGCACATGGCCAGTCCAGAGATCCATTAGCCGATTCCAATTGGACTAGCTAGCATAAACTAATGGGATTTACTAATTGACTTGAGGAGCATGGATTAACTGCCAACTACCTGGTTGGAAAGACTGAAGGCTTATCTGTGAATATTCCCGCAGACCTAATAGTTTTGTATGCATCTCATCCATTTGAGGTCTGATTTCTGATCTGATTATATCTTTCTTTCTTATGTAGTCATGTCATGCTTAATGACATGGTATTGTGTTGTGTACCATAGCACAGTGTTGTATTTTCACAGGAATGCTTATACATGTAAGATCTGTTACTGTGGTCATGGTTATGATGTGTGGTTGATGATATTTTGTTGTGTGATACATAATATGCTGGTGTTGGAGGCTTGACTACTTATTGTCGTTACATTCTGATTAATTTGATATCATTATTATGGAATATTATCTTGTTGTTGTATGGTCATAATTATAATTTTGTGGAATATCATAATTATTGACTGGTAATCTTGCTTGGTTTCATTATTATTCTTCTCACTGATCTCATTTTCCTGCTGTTGAGAGCATGTTGTTTTAGCTGATGGTTGACTTCTGGGTCTTCCAAATGCAGAGTCTGCATCAAACCAAACGCAGAACAAGAAGCACAGGTCAGGTCAATCTTCTCCAACCGAACTGTGTAGGTTTTTCCTAGTTGGATCTATCTGCAGAATAGTTGTGTGGCATATGTTGTTTCTTAGATGAGATAAACTGGTGTTCCTCTCTTTCATGACTTCCTTTCCATCCATCAAAACTGGAAGCTTCCTTCTCAATTTCCATTTCTCCCCATTTAAGATGGCTATGCTCCTCACTGTGGAAAATTAGAACTGTTGTTGACTTTTGGTGAGCACAATGCCTTGTTTTATTTGGAGCTTTTAATTCTATTGTCATGCCTTTTTAATCCTCTTTACTTGACTATTATATGATTGGTTCATGCGATCATTCTTCCATGGAACCACTGCACTTGAGCTGCTACAACCACTCAAACCTTCTTCCTTTGATTGAAGCCTTCCTTTTTTTTGTGTGTCAATGCATGCTTTCTTTATCCTCAATCCATCATCCTCAATATAAAACAGTGTTGGCTCCAAATTCGTAGTAATCTCAACTGCTCACTTGTCTTCCTCCTCTCCACAAGAATTCCACTGCCTTCTTCTATCCACCTCCTCCTCCTCCTCTTTGCTCTGTTCACCTCATCCTTGGTCTCACCAGCCAAAATCCGGTATGCTGACCCCCTGCAGCCATGTCGTCCCTGAATCCACTGCCACCACCCTCTTTGCCGACTCCCACTCCTTTCAGATACCAAGTTGCTACTTCTCCGGCCGAGGCAACCTCTTTCACTTGGCTGACAGCTCCAACTTCTTCCAGATACCCCTTTCGCTGCAACATCGGTTTGTTCTTAGATATACTAAGGATTGAGCGGAGGTTGAGGCAAAGTACCTAATTGAAAATCTCTACATGAGAGTGTTGGGAGGGTGAAAAATTCATCATAGATTAATAATTAAAAAATTATATGAGAAAATCAATACAATATTTAATATGAGAAAATCAATCAATTTTAAAATTAAAGTTTTTAACATAATAATTACATATCATGATTTTTATGTTTACACTTCATTTTATTCGCTCACGTGTTTTTATATCTAACATCCTATATAAGTCAGTTTATTTGATCCTCGTGAATCACAAACATCCAACACCATCAACGAACGTGATTCGTATTGATACATTTTGAAATTCTTGTGTACCTCATGCACTCGACACCCTCTATGTGTGAGTGGTTCAGGTTAGTATACCTCGATGTTGTTATATGTCATATGCATGTAACACTTTTTATGGGGTGGTCTAGGTCAGCATGCCTTGATGCCCTCATACATTCATGTGTTCGATACCCACTAAGTTAGTGATTCACATTAGCATGCCTTGATGTTCTCACACATCTCCTATATCCGAGATACCTTATGTTGGTAGTTCATCGGTACTCATTAACACTCTCATGTTTGACACACCTAGATGGCCTCAAATCTCATGCATCCAATCTTCGTTCATAAGAACTTCAAATTGGCACATTATGACACCCACATGCATCTCATGTTTTCAAAATTCTCTACAAAATCAATTCAAGTTGACACGCGATAATACCCTCACATGTCTCATGCATGTGGCACCTCTTATTTGAGTGATTCAAGTCAATATATCATAGTGCTATTATGTATTTCATGCATCTGAAACCCCCTATATAAATTATTCAATTGATACACCTCAATGCCCTTATCTGTGATGCATTCGACCCTAAAATGTGAGTTGTTCAAAACAACACACTCTGATGCGTTCAAGATTTAACATTGCCACATGTCTCATGGATCTGACACTCTCTACTAAGTCAAGACACTCTAATACTCTCACATCTCTTAGGTGTTCGACATCTCTTTTGAGTAGTTCATGTTGTCTCACATATATGTCCTTATAGGTCTTGTGCATTGAATATCCCTTATGTGGGTAGTTCACATGCCCTGATGCACTCACATATCTCATACGTTCAAACTCAAAAAACATGTGGTTGATATTATTATACTCTCACAATCTCATATGTCCCTTGGATCTGACAACACTACTCATGTGGTTCAAGTCAAAATGCACTAGCATTCTCAAGTCTCTCGTATTCGACAAGCCATATGTGGGCAATATAAGTAAGCACGCCCTAATGTTTCATACATCCGACACTCCCTATGTGAGTGGTTCAAGATGATATGCCTAATGTCTTAATGTCTCATGCATCCAACATCCACACATGGGTGGTTCAAGCTGTTATATTTAGACACTCTCGAGCATCTCGAGTCTGTCACCTCTCAAGTGAGAATATTTTAATGTCTTTATACATCTCTTGCATCTAACTCTTCCTTTACAAGCCGTTAAAGTTGACATATTCTAATACAGTCACACATCTCTAAACGTTTGACATGCCTCCTATGTCCCCATACCATGCCGTGATATCTTATGCATGAATGTTTTATAATAGATAAACTAGAAAAAACATTAAAATTAAGAAAAATACATTAATGTGTAGGTAAGTTTCTTCAAGTGAAGTCTTACGAATACTTTTCAAATTGTAATATTTGACCCATAATTTAAAAGCTTAAACTTTTAGATTGAACTAATATTTGATCTGATATATATGTTAATATCGATTAGTTTGACTCTTAGTGAATAAAAAAAAGGAAGAGTCATAAATATAATTGAAAAGCTTAAATTTTGACTATATTAACTCAAACTCATCATTAATGAATTTCTAACATAAATTTTAAATATTTCTCTTTGAAATCTTTCATACTTAAATTCCTTAAGGATTTGATTTCAGAAATCTAAAAAATACTTGCACCCATATATCTATCTATCTATCTATATTATGTTAATAATAAGATGCATGCATGTTATATTATTGATTAGAAAGAAAGAGAAAGTACAATTGTCACTTCTTTTTCTTCCTGCGAGAGGAGGGAGGGTGCCAAATAGTTTGCTCTGACTGACTTATCGCCGACACCAACCACTGTAACAGTTGCTCTGCATCAAGCAAAAAGTCAAATCCTTGACTCTCTTCTCGTCGAGCAAGATGGTAATAAGAAGCCGAGTCCAATGCATAACGTTGCACAAGGCACAGCCAGCCATCAGTTGATGTGCTGCGGACGGAGCCCGCCACATTGAATGACACCAATATCTATCCTCTCCGCAGCTGGTTTTCCCTCGGAACCTTCATCATCCTCAACCCAACAACTTGCCCAAAACATAAACATCGGCGCAGACTTGCCCATCAATCTTCGTCTTGCGTGTGGGATACCTCTTCTCTTGTCCACGAGGAGATAACTCTCGCGTCCCTTTCCTCGATGTTGTTCTCTCCCAATCAGCGCTTTGACTGCCTCTTAAGTCTTCTTCTTATTTACAGTCCTGATTGAATTCAATGAGAGAAGCACCATGTGAAAGGCCCACAGGAAGTGTTTCCTTGAGCTCCCTCTCTCTTTATGGGACACGACACGGCAACAACTTCAATCATGACAACACAAAGAACAATAGAATAAGCCAATAAATCACACCGCAATTGCTTGATCATAATGCTATGCACAGCTTGCAAGCCCTTCACAAAGCAACAATTACGTACAACAAAAGGAAGAAGTATAGCGAATGATGTGAACGTAGAGCAGGTGGTGCCGGCAGCTGTACAGGTCCGTGGAATCATATGGCAACCTGTCTGTCTTCAAGCCTTGGCAGGCTCTGGCGCAGGCTCCGGCGGAGCCACTGCCTCTTCGGCAGGAGCAGGCGGAGCTGGGCCCTCCTCCGCCTTCTCGGCCTCCTCTTTCTTGGTCTCCTCCGCGCCCTCGGGAGTGACCTCCTTGCTGATGGTCTCGACGGCGGCGGCCGGTTCCAGTTCCGGTTCCGGTTCCGGTTCGGCTTCGGCGGGGAGCAAGGTGGAGACCTTCTCGAAGATGAAGATGACAGGACCGGAGACGAGGGCGGGGCCATGCTTGCTTGCTGCCTCGCTTACCGGCTTGGAGCCAGGGAATTCTACGTGGATCGATATGCGTCTCATGATCACCTTTGGCAAACTATAGATTACGAAGGGAGACAGACAGGGATTATTACCGATCTTCACTAGTTCCTCGATGAACTTGATGACAACAGCTGATTTCTTCTTCAGTCCCGACTCTGTAGGCTGCTTCACCAAAGTCTATGATCATAGAAAGTTATTAAGTTAGCTGAATTCCACGGGACGGATCTGCAACTATTTCTCTCTGACGAAGAGGGGAAGATGGACCTTGATCTCAACAGCAGAGGCTTCATAGATCTCTACGACTTTGGGCTGGAGGTCTGCCTTCTTCTCCTCCAACTCCTTGGTGATCTCCTCCTGTGACAACCCGAAGAGTATGTATATATGACAAGGAAGAAGAGGTAGAAGAAGATGAAGCCCAAAGCCCCCACCTTGGATTCATCGAAGGACTTGCATGCCTCAGCTGCAGCAGCCTTCTTGCCGTTCCGGTCAAAGACCTTCTTGATCTTTGGAAGGACCTTCGTCTTCCAGTAGTTAACCATCTCTACCCCTCCTCTCTCTCTCTCTCTCTCTCTCTGTGCTTGTTTGCCTGATCACCAAGTTACAAAATGCCAGGGAAATATAAGATGACCAGCCACCAAAACACCATCAATGTGTCAGTACAATTACGTCGAAGCCCTTCCGGCTCAAGGCAAAATAACAGCTCTTGATCATCAATCTCACGCATCGGACGGGGGAGGACGAGTGCTGGTGGGGGCACGTAAAGGGTATTTAGGTCATTGCGATGACTCGATGGCGTGCACGTCAATTACGGAGGGAGGAGAGCGGAAACGCGCGACAGCTGGCGGCGGAAAGCGATACGCCGGTTTGTGGGTCCCGCGGCCGGGGCTGGTGCCGCGATGGCCACTTGCTGCGCCACGTGGCCGCGCTCACGCGGGACCCTGCCACCTTCCCCTTATTTTATACCTACGTGAAATAAATATCTCACAGGGTCATAAAACCACGAGATTGCCATTGGAGCGCATTGGATCCAATAACCCGGCATGCAATCGGACTCAAACTCGATCGGATCCCGAAAGGGGATCCGGTTTGTCCTCCGGATCGGTTAGCCTGATAAGCTTCGGTTTGGCATCAGATAGAACCCGTTAACTTCTAATTACGTTGCTACGGTCGGCGGGGTGAGCGACCCCAAGTGCGTCATGGAGAAGAAGATCTACCAGAGCGACGTCGACGAGGTGCATCACCGCCTCCTGCCCAGGAAGGTCCTCGACAAGCCAGTGTTCGAGGGCATGATGACCGCCGCGGAGAGAGCGCAGATGAGGGAGAAGGGAGGCCTCAAACTGAAGGTTCTCGACCAACTGGGGAGGGAGTACAACGTCGTCCTCTTCGGCAGGGACTACTTCAAGCTGGTGAGCAACAATGGGTTCAAGGTCGGCCATTATCTTCATATCTGGGCCTTCCGAGTGGGGCGGAGAAGAGAAAGCACCGCCGATGGAGGAGGAGGAGGACGAGGTGGCGTTGATTCTTCCGAGTTTGATGGGCATGGAGTCAAGTTCTATTGAGTGGTTTACGTCACATAGAAACCACATAGGGGAGACATGTTGTATACATTCTTCTCTCTCTCTCTCTCTCTCTGATGTGTTTATAGTCTTTTATCATACAGTAAATTCTACGTGATTCTATCAAACACCAACTTAGTCTTGTAATGAATGCTCTTGTAACATAACACACACAGAAATTTGATTCAATGTAGAATTATATATCCTATGATATAGTCATATTAAATAGTATTTTTTTTTGTCTAAAATATTTATTTTTTAAAAAATAAAAAAATATTTTGTTATTACATTAAATTATATATATATATATCAATTATACCGTTATATAGTAACGAAATCGAATGTCACTGTCTCAACAAAAGCATGCATCTCGTTGATAGCATTCTGTCCAAATCAACTTAACTACGAGCGGGTATTTAACGTCAACATCAGTTAATTAATTTTCTCTTCTCGCCACGTTAAATACGATTCCACGCGAAGCGCACGTGTGCCGACATCCGAACCAGCTGTCGATCGGAGATCGGCAAGCACGGACTCGGATGCACGTGGCCTCCATCGATCCCATCACCTCTCACCCAAATTACGCGCCTCCTGGCCCGTTTCATCTCGTCGGCCGCCACGTGGCCCGTTCCCATGCGGTGCAAGTTCGGGTCCGCGTGGGACCCTTTTGACGACCCAACCGCCGTGCTTTCAATTATTGTCCGCCCAATACTTTTTGTGTCCACCGTATCCGATCATCTCGAAACCCACTACCACTGTTCTCGGATCCGAATCCAAGTGCTCCAAACCCTCCGCTGGCTGACCCGTATTGGGCGGACGCCCCAAAGTGGAGCTCCCAATAGCGACCATCGCATGATCAGATCGACGGCTGTGACGCCGCCCCCTATCGTCTCCACCCCAAAAGTGGGTCCCGGCCACGAAAAGTTTCGTGAAGGATCCACTCCTACGCGCGAAATATACATCACTGATCCAGTCGGAGATTCCAGTCAATGTTCAGGTACGAAAGCGGGTGATCGAAAAGCAGTGGGAAAAGTAATTTTGGGACGACTGTTGGGGCAGGGACGCTGCCATAAACTGCCAACGTCGTATCTGACCGTTAAATCTCCGCCCTTCCTCCCTTATCGTAGCCCACCCCATCTCCGCCTTCCTCTCACTATCCTTCGCGTTGCTTCTATCTCTCTACCTCCTCTGCTCCTCCTCCTCGTCGACCTCCTCCTCCCCCTCCTCTCCTGCCTCTCTTATCCTTAATGGCGGCTTCCTCCTCTCTTTCTCAGGCGTAACTCCATTCACCGATTGATACGACCTCTTTTGCATCAGCAGAACGAACGCTTCTCTCGTGGTAAGTGCTGTTGGATTCCCAGAGATCTCTGCTCTGTATTGTTTTCCCGAGACAGGATAGTTCCAAGCTTATTTTAATGGGTTGTCATGCAATAGCTTATCTTCTTGAAACCCAACTTGATATGTTACGGGTGATGGATGAGTGTATGTACGGTTCACAGATAAGTGGAAGCGAGCGGGGCGGCGGTCCCCCATGGCACCCAAGGGCGCTCGAGGCAAGGGAAAGGGCGAGAAGAAGAAGAAAGATGAGAAAGGTAAGCTGTTACCGCCGCTAAAGAGCAAAACCTGACCCATTCACTTGCCGTCATTGGTTTCATGCTTGTTCCGATGACTGACCACTGGCTGTTGCTGTGCCAGTTCTGCCTCTGGCTGTGGACATCACAGTGAAGCTCCCCGATGAGTCTCATGTCGTCCTAAAGGTCTGTGTATGTATGCCCTTCTCACCGCCTTCTCTAGTCTATGTTTTCTTTCAGTAAGAGGATGAAATGGAACAGTATGAAAGGTTCATCGTGTATGAACTGTCATGGAGTGTGTTAATCCGTGGAAGGACACAAGTACTAGTAGTCGAGCTGATGGTTATACTCTCAGCTTCACTGGACCAATAGACTGATAGATCCCACCTCATTGTCGTCGAGATATGAGGTATCAACACCAGCGATAAAGGGAGCATTTACTGACGGAGCATTTATTATTAGCATTTATGCAACTGAGTGGTTCACTTCAGTGCCCTTTTCTGAAGAGTGGCACACTCATTGGGACCATATTGCATCGTGTCAGCTAAGGTTGAGGTACCATATAGCAAGAGGGAGGTTAATTCATGGAAATTAACTTGTACAGATAAATAATGTCGTCACCATCATCACTGCAGCAATCAAAATTGGTTGCTCTTTTGGTTGCGTATGGTCCTTCGTCTCTGCCATGGAAAACACCCTTCAACCTCTCGTGGCTTATTTGCAGGGAATATCCACTGACAGGATCATCGACGTACGGCGGCTGCTGTGTGTTAACACCTCGACATGTAACTTCACCAACTACTCCTTGTGCCATGAGGTAAGAGCTTCTCATCTTCCCAACTCGTTTTCTTGTGATTTGTTGATTCATTCTTCTTGTTTGCTAGACATTGGTAGTAAATGCAAAGCCAAAGATGTGGATGTGGGTTTTGGTTGGGTTACTGCCTTTCCAGAGTCGTGCTTGGATAGTCCATCCATCTTTCCACTTCGATAGGGACCTTAAAAGGAAGAACAGTAGTTAGACGGAAAACTCGACAAGCATCAGTTTTCACATAGAAGGAAGAAAAAAGATTGTCCTGTAGCGCATCAAGTTGTGCAGATAATTGCATGCTTTGGTGGGACTTCAACCACAGGGCGAGTTAGATTTGCTGAACTTGTGATCAAACTATTCCATCTCTTAGCATGAGTTGCTATCATTTATGTTTTTTTTTCTTCTTCACAAAATATTCATCACTGACTTATCCACCAAAAACTTCAATCGAATATTCAAATACTTAAGCTATCAGGAAAATATATGGTTTATGGATTTGGATGCAAAGTAGATGAGAACATAGGAAATGGTGAATAGAAAACCATGCGCATCTCGTGGCTCATGTGGAACACATGAGGTGGGAAGTCTTTGCATGGACATCTGACCTAGAATTGGATATGAGGTGGGATGGACACTTGGGGTCCAAATTGTTTCCATCATCCCATCATAGAAAGTGAAAGGCATAAAAAGAGTTTTATTTTTTGGAACAAAAAATAATATTAAAAGAGTTGATTTGTGCATAGTATCAGAAATGGATTACTGTCACAAAAAACAATATTAAATATTAATTATAGCTTCTTAATATATATTTATTTATGCTGTTTCTGTCCAAGATATATATGACACGGAAAAAAAAGAAATGCTTTAAGATAATGGACATAATTTCGAATTACTGAAGTGATAATAATTGGTCTTATTATGTCCTTTATTTCAGGTCAGAGGAGCGAGGCTGAAGGATTCTGTGGATATTACGGCACTTAAGCCATGCACTCTTACGTTGGTCGAAGGTAAGAAATAATACAATTGGAATATAAATATAAGTAGATTTGGTGTATTTGGTTGCAATTAAAGTCATGAAAAGTGTTTTTTGATCAAGTGAATTTTTAAAAATATTTTTTAAATGTCTGTTGTAATGAAAAGAAGAAAAAAAAAAAGCGTTCGGAAAGTAAAAACGTTTTCTAAAACTAAATGCTATTTAGAAAAACAGTCTTTTTTGGTGCAGAAAACTGTTTTTTTTATTTTGCTTTATTACTGGCGATTATAAGAGGAAAATATCTAATTACGAGCGCGATGATGGGCAGAGGACTACGACGAGGAACGAGCGTTGGCGCACGTGCGGCGCCTCCTCGACCTACTCTGCTCCACCACCTGCTTCGGCCCCTCGCCGCCGGCGACGCCGCCGCCCAAGGATGCCACCCCGGCCGTCGCCGCGGCCGCTAAGGACGGGAAGAAGAGCGGTGGAGAGAGCGGAAGCCGCAAGGCCGCGCCGGATCCGCAACGCCAGGCGCAGTCGCCGACGTCCCCGACCAAGGATTTGCCGGCCGACCTGGAGGCGGAGATGAGCGGCGCGTGCCCTCGGCTCGGCGCCTTTTACGAGTTCTTCTCCCTCGCCAATCTCACCCCTCCCATCCAGTGTGAGTCCAATCCTCCCCCCGCCCCTCTCTTTCCCCATTCGCATGTTCTTGTCGAGAATCAAGCAAAAACCGTTCTTTTCGTCTGTTTTCTTGATCAATTTGCCCGTTGCAGTCATACGGCGAACAACGAATCTCCGGCAGGACGAGCGTCCGTCCGATGATCATATCTTCTTCCTCGAAGTACGTCTTGTTTAATTCTTCTTAAGTTATATCTATGAATTACTATTTGCTAATTATCTGTTTTGATCGACATTGGATGTAAAATTAAAGGTGAAGCTGTGTAATGGAAAGCTTGTGATCGTCGAGGCATGCGCCAGGGGATTTTACAGTCTCGGGAAGCAACGCGTGCTGTGCCACAATCTTGTTGATCTCCTGAGACATCTCAGCAGAGCATTTGATAACGTCAATAACTCATTTCTTTACTATTTATTTGTGTTCTTTATTACATTACTCTTTAACTTATCTTTTACCGTACATTTCATGGTACTGCTTAGAATTATATGTTACGCCAGTGATGTTTGCCTCTAACGAGATTCTTTTCTTGAATTCTGTGCTGTTTACAGGCTTACGAATATCTCATGAAAGCCTTCATGGAACGAAATAAGGTAACTTTTTCATGTTATTTATTATAGTGGATACAAGAACTTCTAAGAGGTCACTGATTGGTTAATTATTCCTGTTCTTTGCTTGATTAATTCTTATTACCTTCTTTGCTGGGAAGTGGATATATGTAACTTACGGATGTTTCTTGCCAAAAGATCGTTGATGTCAAAAATCAATCTAATTCCATGTCCTATAACAGCTTGCTTCAACAACCCTATATATCTTCCTCATTCTTGATACCACGTCTATTGTCATATGTATCTTTACCAATTAAATGAATCTTACACAATGTCCGAGTTATAATATGACAGAATTTTGTATATTAAAGCACTTCGTTAATTCGTTTTTAGTCTTTCCATGTATAGGATGCAAGTAGTAAGTATATGTTTGAAACCTTTTTATTTTGTAAAGAAAATTAATTAAAGAAAAGAAGAAAGTTGTGTCCATGAGCTGCTCATCAGTTATTTCAGCCTTTTTTTATTTTTCCACAATGTGTCACATCGTTTTTTTTCAACATCTTAAATCTGGGGCAGGTGTACTTTTTTCTTTGCTTAAGTCTCTTACCATTTATGTTACTTTTGGATTGATAATTCATAATTTCCTTCGGTTCTAGCTATTTGCCTGTTGAATGTACTAATTCCTCAAACAATTAAGAGCACATTCCTATTTGCAGTTTGGAAATCTGCCATATGGATTTCGTGCAAACACATGGCTTGTGCCTCCAGTTGCTGCTCAGTCACCATCCATATTTCCTTCCCTTCCTGCTGAGGATGAAACATGGGGAGGCAATGGAGGTGGTTGGGGTAGGGATGGAAAAAGCGATATGGTGCCTTGGGCAAATGAGTTCCTTTCCCTTAAGTCCATGCCCTGTAAAACTGCAGAAGAAAGACAAATCCGTGACAGGAGAGCTTTCCTGCTTCATAGCCTGTTTGTCGATGTTGCAATATTAAGAGCCATCGCAGCTGTAAAGCAAGCTATGGAGAAAAAACATGATGCACTTCCAGTAGGGTCAGAAAACATCCTGCACTTTGAGACAGTAGGGGATTTTAGCATCACTGTCACCAAAGATGTTTCAGATGCAAAATGCAAGGTTGATACAAAGATTGATGGAAGTAAAACAACAGGAATTGATGCCAAACATCTTGTCGAGAGGAACTTGCTAAAAGGAATCACTGCAGATGAAAATACAGCAGCTCATGTAAGAGAATATAATTGTATCTTGACAATGTTTTACAATTTTTGATAGCTAATTCAGTGAAACAAATTTGTGGGCTTTCATCTGCAGGATATTGCCACTTTAGGGGTTGTTAATGTGCGTTACTGTGGTTACATTGCTGTTGTGAAAGTCAACCATCATGAGAAAAGCGAAGAGCATTTACCTTTGCAAGGTGTTGATATCAAAGATCACCCTGAAGGGGGCGCAAATGCTTTTAACATCAACAGGTGCTTGTTAGTGTATAGGCATATTTCTTCATGCTCTCAGTTTATCATATAAAATAGTTTTAAATTCTTCAATCTGTTGAAGCTATTATTCATTATTTCAGTCTGAGAATGCTTCTTCACAAAAACCATACATCAAGAGAGAAAAGTACATATAATAGTTTACAGAATTCAAAGCCTGAGGAACTCTCAGCAGCACAAGCCTTTGTGGAGAAATTACTGTCAGACAGCCTAGTGAACCTTGAGGAAGAGAAAGCCGAATGCAATGTCTCTATGAGATGGGAATTAGGAGCTTGTTGGATACAGCATTTGCAGGATCAGAATAATGGTGAGAAAGACAAGAAACAGGCTGGTGAAAAAGATAAAAAACAAACCGGTGAAAAGACTAAAAGTGAGACAAGAGTCGAAGGCCTTGGGAAGCCTCTTAAAATTCTTAAAAACCACAAAAAGAAACCAGATTTTGATGAAGAAAAGATTTCAACAGTTGACAGGAAATCATCTGATGAGACGCCTGGAGGAATGAAAGATGTGAAGTTGCCATTTGAGGAACCAAAGGTTGAAACCACAGCAACAGAGGATGCTTGCAAGCTCAAAGATTTGCTACCTGAACCTGCATATACACGGTTGCAAGAATCTAAAACTGGACTTCATATGAAGGTATGCTGAACAGAAAATTGGGGTAGATTTGTTTAGTTCCACTATGTTTTCCTGAAATCCAGAACATATATACACATAATTAATTAACGTGTTATAAAAATTTCATATGAAGATTATATCTGATATTTGAGACTGAGTTGATTGCTGCTTTTCCTCTTGAACAATGAGTTCTTAGATACATTATGATAACACAAAAGCTTTTCAAGTTAAATTACTGATGCATCTTTTTCCACGTAATTCCTTTTTGTATCTTCATGCAGAATCTTTGTGACAATAGTCCAATATGGCATTTTGACTTGCCACTGAAAAGTAGAGGTGCATGCACTTTCCAACATTAACCTCATTAACTTATTTGTTTCACTAAATATGCCAAGAGAGAAACATGAAATATTTTTATCTTGTAATATAATCTTGATTACATTAGCTTATGCATTCTTGACTGAGTTTTCATCTTTTCAACTTGATTTTGATAAAGTAATTCTATTTAGAGGTCAATGCACATGAAATGACTAATATAACCTCATTCTGAAGTTCAAAAGCTGCCGTATATAGAATTGTATGTTTGCCTAACAAAGATATCATCCAGTCATCCATCAAATATATTGTATTTCTTTTCTAATCTGAAATTCCTCTCAAATGGTAGTTCAGGGCCACTGGTCAGAGTATGTATTCGTTGATGTTCGGGTTTTAGTTTGTAGGTCACCCTTGAACTAAATGCTGTTGTATGAGGATGCACTTATTTGTGACTAATGTTTCTTATGCTCCCCCACTCTTGAGATAGTAGTATAATCATTCGCTAGCCACATTGGAGAAAATAAATTTAAAATGGGGGAAGGCTTTGAGCTGGCAAACATTTGGTTGTTTGATAGATAAAACAGGACATAGATTGAAGAAAGTACAGAAGAAAAAAAGAATTGTGGGAGATGTTTGATTATGTAGAAACCGAAGTTGATGAAGTTTGAGAAATCCAACTCCAACATTGGATGGAACTTGAAACCTAGACCGGATTACTGGCACAAGAAGGATTCACAACTTAAGTTCACTTGCTTCATTTTACTAGTTAGGTCAGTTTAGGTATGAATCATTTATTGATATGATCAGTGTTACATTCATTTAGCTATATTTAATGTTGTCAGAATTTTATGATTCAGTGATCTGGTTCTTGTGGTCTAAGTTAATATGACTCCACACGATTGTGATCCTACTTTGGCACAAAATTTCATGGGATAACAAAAGATTAATTTAGATGTCAAGCTCCATCTCAAGTGATGAACTTTATATTGATCAATTAAGTATAACAATTTTTTTTCCATATCCTTCCCAAGTTCCCGAACAGGTTTATGAAGGTCTCAAAGAAATTTGGTTAGTTTTTTTAAAATAAGAAAATTAAAATTTACCAGTTTTGAAGCTAAAGTTGGACTTTACATTTGTTGGTTAATTTTGTAGAAATGGAATTTGTGTCTTATTTTAATTGCTAGACACGGTGTTTTATATTTTCATCTAATTCATTTTTATGTTGTTTTCTTGATTTCTGAACTGTCAATGTTGAAGATTTTGAAGGAAATTTAGAGAAAATATTACTTTCTATGATTTCATATGGTGATAAGAACATCATGATTTTTTGTCTGCCCAATGTACATGTAAATCAGGCAACCGTTAAGTGGTCATAATCTTTCCTTTTAGAATAGTTCAATCTGAAGTGAAGTTTTAGAGGGTATGTCCTATAGGGTGAGAACATTCCAGATGATAACAGCTTCTCTTAACTTTGAGGCCAGAATGTACAGAAATTGGTGTCATGTAAGGAAATTAAACTATGTTTTTTTCTATTTTGGTTGCCGATAGTGTTTTAGGTGGAATCTGCTTGCCATTTGTATGTGCATGCATATGTAAATTGACTGTTTCCTTGGGCATGGACATGACTTGAAGTGAATTGAAATAGAAGAATTTTGCTGCCTCTTGGTTTTTGTGTTCTAGTCCTTAACATTGCGTTTCTTTCACTCTTTTTCTTTGTGAATATTTCACTGTTCTTCTATTCTAGTAGTTCCTTTTTCACTCTTCTAAAAGTCCTTGCTGACTTTATTTTCTATTGAACAAATAGTTATTGTTTAAACCTGTTCTTGTCTCCTAAAAGATGCTGCTACATATGTATCTGTCATGTTCTATACCGTTGCTGCATAATTATAGTCGTTTTCATCTCTCACGTCTTTCCTAATAACACCATTATCCTATCTTCTTTTGATTAAATTTGATTATATGAGTTATATCTATGACAACAGTTCAACATATATCTTTCTATTAAGTTCTATATTTCTCTTCTATTTCTAAAAGTATGTTATAGCAGACATATACTTTCAGAGACTTAAATTGCTGATAGAGGAAAGTCCACCAAGGTAGTACATTAGCGCCAACTCATTCCTTGATTACTTTTAGCTGGCAAATGCTACTCATCCAGTACACGAACTAAAGAACATATAAAGGAAAAAAGAGAACATGGTATAGCAAATCTTAGTCAAATGATCGATAACATCTTTATTTGCTAAGTTGGAAAGGTAGAACAGGTGTTAATCGGACGTTGGATTCTTAACTAATGGTCATATTTGAAACTGAAAAGATGTCATGAGCACATGATGGAACTAACTTCCTTACTAGAAACACTTGGTCATTTGACTCGAGTTCTACAAAGTCACAATCCATTTTTGAGACTTAAAATTGGTTTTCAGTGGCTACTGCTGACCTTTGAAAATTATAGACTAAGCTAACATGATTTCTTTGAAGTTCTAGAAGAAGTTGCACCATTTCTAAGCTATACTTATGTGGCGAAAGTTTCTATAATATTATCTTTTAATATTTAGCATACATGTTACTATTTATGTTCTATCAATCTAAGAAATTTCCATATCATGCGATGCTTAGTATAAGGATGAGAATATAATTTATTTTCATTATCAGTCTCCACAGGAATTAACTGAGATGGCATCGAGATATTATGATGAGGTTGCTCTTCCGAAGTTGGTAGGCCTGAATATTATTTGCTTATACCTAATTCATCAAATAGTGCCATTTTTTTTTATCAAATGACTATTCTGATGAGTTTAAATTATACCTTGACATGTATTCAGGTCTCAGACTTTGGTTCATTGGAACTTTCACCTGTTGATGGTCGTACTTTGACTGATTTTATGCATACTAGAGGCCTAAGAATGCATTCTCTTGGGCGAGTTGTAAGTCAACCATTTTCTCTCGTTATCAATTTGAAAACGGTCTAATATATATTAATTTCAAGATGTATTCTAGTAATATATGATTAATTGCACTATTCTGATCAATATATCAGGTCAAGCTTTCAGAGAAGCTGTCCCATGTACAGTCACTCTGTATTCATGAGATGATAGTAAGAGCATTTAAGCATGTCGTACGAGCTGTAATTGCTGCTGTATCTGACACCAGAGATTTGTCAATATCAATAGCTGCAACTCTTAACTTGCTCCTTGGGCTTCCTGATTCTGGTGTTTCACATTCTTCTGTCCCTGTGCATACCCTTGTCTGGAGATGGCTCGAAGTATTTTTGAAAAAACGATATGACTGGGAACTCTCAGTTTCAAGCTACTTTGATATAAGAAAATATGCTATCCTGAGAGGACTGTGCCATAAGGTAATAGTCTTTATCTTTTCAAAATATGTGTGTGGCCTTTGATTTTTCTTTGAGCTCACATGTTTATTTCTTTTAGGCGGGAATTGAATTGGCACCCAAAGACTTTGATATGGATTCAGCTTTTCCCTTTGACAAATTGGACATCATCAGCCTTGTACCTGTGCACAAGGTAAAAAACAAAAAGAAAGTTTTGTAGGAATTCTGTTCGCTGCAGTCAAGGATCTTATTTCTTCTAAATATTTTGTAGCAAGTTGCATGCTCATCTGCAGATGGACGACAACTACTGGAATCTTCAAAGACGGCTCTTGATAAGGGTAAACTTGAAGATGCAGTTAGCTATGGGACAAAGGTAGATGCATATACAGGTTATCCTGCATCTTAAATCCTTTTCATTTTCCCTTTCATTTCCTTTGATAACAAAGTTGTATTTGGTTCAGGCTCTGGCAAAATTAATCACAGTCTGTGGCCCATATCATCGGATGACTGCTGGAGCCTACAGTCTTTTAGCTGTTGTTCTCTACCATACCGGAGACTTTAATCAGGTAGCTTTTTGACATTCATGTCACCGAAGGCCATGATTATTATAATTTGGAGTATTTTGCAGTTTGTCGTGTGGTTCTACCACTATGAATAAAAAATTGTCAACTAGAATTGTGAGAAATTTCATGAATGTACAACTAATATTTTGTTTGGTATTTAATCTATTTCCATCTATTGTTTGCTGTGAGCTCTGTGAATCTCAACAAATCTCATAGATAGATCATAGTGCAATATCTCACTACAGCATTTGTGTGTCTATTATTTGCTGTCCTCTTTTAATTAAATATGGCCAACTTTTAACTAAATATCTCAATTTTGTTCATAGCTTTTGAAAAGATTTGGATCAGTCTATACATCACGGACATTTTTGTTCTATTATTTCTGACTTGGTTGAATATCATGGTATATATGTAAATTTTACAGATTCCTCATCATTTAAACTGTAAAACTTTGAATGTGAAGGGTGACTTTTGAGATTTTTCTATTATGACTTTCGAACTTGTTCTGTTATCTTTCATTGGGATTACAATGACATTTGATATGTTTAGGCCACAACTTATCAGCAAAAGGCATTGGACATTAATGAGAGGGAGCTTGGCTTGGATCATCCAGATACAATGAAGAGCTATGGTGATCTAGCTGTATTTTACTATAGACTTCAGCATACTGAATTGGCTCTAAAGTAAGTTCAATACCCAATTGTCCTAGTCCACCTTTATGTAGGAATGCTTTCTTTTGATGTATCTGATCTCTTACTTTATTATATACAGTATATACTGTATTTTATTCTTATTATAACTTGAAATTAAGGATTAAAATCTTGGTCTGGTACCAATACCAATCATCGGTCAGACTACCAAGCCGTATCATGAGTTGGTATGGCTTAGTAACGGTCAATATTGAGTGGGAAGGAAGGCGGTGGAGATGTGAGGATTCACATACCAATATTGACTAAATAGGGTGGAACTGAGGTCACAGGAGGTGATGGAGAGGAGGGAGGCAATGTGTGCCTGTGATCGCAAGAAGGGTTGCCAAGGTGGCAGAAAGGGCAGGGGAGCAAGGTGGTATTGGTGTGATTGACATTATATATGACAGTATAGTTGTAGGCAGTGTAGACCATACCAACAGTTTCTGGCGGTGGCAGAGGTGGTGGAGGCATAGCATAGGACATGGGGTATCATTTTTATTAGGTGAAGACCAAGTCATAGGGGCTCATGGTGTTGTTGGCAGAGTGGATGGGGGCTAGAGTGATGAAGTGGTTGATAAGTAACAAGCAAAATCAGGAAAATGATGGAGAGTATAGATAACTGGGTGGTAAGCTCATTATTTTTAAGATAATAAGATGATATGCCTGTTATAATAACCGGGCGATAAGCTGGTATGAACATGAACTTGACAAAATTGCTTGGTCCATGTATTGGTCAACCATAGGACCTGTAAATACTAGTGAACACCAATTTAAGTTGCCGAACCCCAAATTCTTGGTTAAAATACTAATACTTTATCTCATGATGTATAATTGCAAATTTGCAATGACTGAAAAGTAAGACTTTGGGCAGTAACTGTCGAAACTTTTTTAATAGACTCTTTTCGGTGGTAACTGTTGAAGTTTTTCAACTAGATTTTTAAATTTAATATTGTTTGCATGGAATAATTCTGATCTACATAAAGATAGAAACATCAGTCTCAATCCTTAAATTAGACATGCTTTTACTTTCATTCATAATATATAGTATGGCCAAGCACTACAACGTAAAAAAGAAATTGATGCCAGAAGCTATTCAATAATATGTTTTCTAAAAATGGCAATGTAATGTTTATGATATGAAGGAGTCTATTAATTAGTTCATGTTGACTAGTATACAGAATTTGATATAACCATAAAATGGCAGCAAAGGATTAAGAAAGTTATGCTTTGTGGCTTCAGATAAGGTGAAGCATTTGCTGCCATAGTTCTTGAAAACTTCAGGCTCCATTTCTTTTCTTATTCTTTATAAGGCCAAAGAATGGGTGGATGAATTAATGATTAGATTTTAGATTCTCCAGTGCATTGTGACCTTCAAATGAATGAGACGATGCACTGTGTAATTTTGTTGGTTTTCATGAGAAAGCAGATACCTCCATTTATATCAGAGTTATATCATAAAGTCCAATAGCCAGCATCCTAGAAGGAGAATGAGTAGATCCTTTGTCATCAGTTTGCCTTCCTTATCAAAACCTCATAGAGTAGATAAATTTCATAATTTTCCTGGGTGAGAGAAAAATATTATGCAAATTAGGTAAAACTACATTTGTAAGATGACATTCCAGGATTTAATTCGTATTTGCCCACACCAAGGATGCAACTTAACATGAAAACCATATTGGTAAATACCGATCAGTACAGACCAGTTCGGGTGCAGTTGCATTCCTTGATTTATTTGAATACCTAAAACTTAAGTGCATATAAAGATTGAGGAACAAAATATTAGAAGTTACTAAGCTTCTTTTCCAGGTTATTTGCTATTTAATTTTGACATCATGCCAGAAGTAATAGGACATCACCATGCCTCCATGAGATGTTGATTATGATTTTTCATAATTTATTTTTGTTGATTGTTAATCAGGTATGTGAAGCGTGCATTATATCTTTTGCATCTTACTTGTGGGCCATCTCATCCAAACACAGCTGCTACATATATCAATGTGGCCATGATGGAGGAAGGCCTAGGAAATGTACATGTGGCACTTAGATATCTTCATAAAGCTTTGAAATGCAATCAGAGGTTACTTGGCCCAGATCACATTCAGGTTTGTTTTGTTCTCAATTTTTTTTTTTCTGTTCTTGTTTCTCTTAACTCTTTAAGATACTTCTTTTCAAGCTATATTGTGGCTATTGGTTATAAATTCTAAATATTGAGATAGAAGCACATGTAGTTTAAGTTGACTGGTGACTGCACACCTTCTAAGGTATTAATTTATTTTTGTAGTCATTCAGTTCCAATAAAGTTTTTCTTATGATGCCCTACAAGTTAGTTATCCAATAGTGAAGATCGAATTGATCCCAAAAAATTTAACACTTAGATTAATTAGGTTTAGATCAAGTCTAGAAAACACTAGACTAAAATTTCTATTTTTTCTGTATTTTTGGATATTTTCCATGTCTAATTTGAGTAATACTGTTTTTTCTATTGTTATTATTTTCAGATTAAATACATTAGAATATAAATAAATAACTTTCTAACAATTTTACATATATTTTAAGTAGTTTAGGATTTTATAATGTTTTATTAATTGTTGGTTGATTTTTAGAACATATAGATTTTAGTTTAGGCATAAACAGATAACAACTCAATAAAAAATTAATTGTATGTAGTTACAAATTGGAATAGTTAAAATTAATGGGTTTAAGAGTGACTATCAATCTCACCAAGACCAAGATTCTTTCTTGGTCAATTATTCTCAATAAAATTTAGGCATGTGATCTTTTGGTTATAATATCAAGAGTATTAAGAATAAATAACTTATAGTTTTCTTTATTACATTAATGGTTAGACTGCAGCAAGTTACCATGCCATAGCTATTGCACTCTCCTTGATGGAAGCATATCCTTTGAGTGTTCAACATGAGCAAACAACACTGCAAATACTTCGAGCAAAGCTTGGCCCTGATGACTTGCGTACTCAGGTAATTTACATGCATCGTTGTCTGGAGAGACATGAGGACATCTTTCTTTCTGTTCTGTTCTGTTCTTCTAATTCTGCATGTCAATCTCTTGTCACTGGAAGTTGTTTGATTTTTGCAGGATGCTGCTGCCTGGCTTGAGTACTTTGAGTCAAAGGCTCTTGAACAGCAAGAAGCTGCTCGAAATGGTACACGTAAGCCTGATGCATCTATCGCCAGCAAAGGCCACCTAAGGTAAAGCAACAAATGCAGTGATTAGATCAATATGGTTTAGTATATAGCTACTATAAGCATGAGTCCTCTGTATATTCTCATATACCTGCTCCACATAGTAACATTCTCATGAATTAAATGTAATTTTTTCATGAACTAGATACACCAGACCAGGTTTTTCTTACTTTTTTACTTCTAATAAAGTGATGAAATCATGTGCTAGTGTATATTCTGCTTGGCAGTGTCTCCGATCTCCTTGATTACATCAATCCCATCCAAGATGGTAAAGGAAGAGATGCTGACTCTGTGAAGAAAAGGAACTTGGGTTTAAAGGTACATTGAGCCTTCATCTTGTTTATTATCTCCCAAGAATCTAAACATGGATTTTACATGTTGTCATATTGGCCAACATGTACAATGTAAGCTTGGTACCTGCATGAGGTTTCATACCATGTTGAGGGCATGCCGACAATATGTTGTCTTGGTCAAGAACCTGAGTATCCATGCCTGTCAACACGTAGGATTCTGTTGTACTTGCCACATGTAAAATCTCAAATCTTGAATCTAAGTTCAGGATAAGTTGAATAAGTCTCAAAGGCGATACTAATAGAGTTAATGATTTCATTCTTTGGCAGTGAATCAGGTTGAATAATCTTTAGTTTAACAAAATGACCTAAGGGATAATATGCAAGTAAGAAGTCAGATGCTAAACATAATTTGGAATCCGAATTTCAGATTGTACTTGACTTGTACACTTATCTTTTGCTGTCTGCTACCAAACAATCAAGTATAGGCATATTTTCATTTTACCATGCCTGAACATCAAGAAGAAACTGTAAACTTCTGCATTTCTAGATAGCCTTTATCCTATTATTTGAAAGATAATCCAATTGAACATGGAAAACAGAAATAGATATTCCATTTTCCCACAATTTTTTTTCTGCATCTGGATAAGTGAAATACCCATGCTTTAGTATTAGCAAAAGTATGTTTGAGAAGCATGTCTTGCATCTAGAATCCAGATAATCTTTATGAGCTATAATGTTCTGATTAACTCATCTCAAGGGTCTTATTGTTTTGGCTTACTAGCACCCAATTTTCTCAAAGTTGTTTTGGCTATTATTTATGTCTTGAAAGTTCTAAAATCACTTTAATTGTTAACTAAGGCAACATGAATAAACTAAACCATATTAACCAGAACCATATGTGTTCTTTAGTTAAGCATCTATTCCAGATTATACATAATCTCATACATAATGTTGGATGAAATCTTTTGGTGAAACTTTTTGCTTAAAACTGAATCACTTATGGGTTTGTCTACTCATATGTTGTTCACCAGTAGCTTTTATCTCTAAAATAAGATATACATAAAAATAAATTTCAACAGGAAGAAATTCTCGGATGAATCAGATAACCTATAAATGGACCCATCGGTAATGCTTATTGGTTCCTTGTTATATGTGTTTTTTCAAATTATGTCTAACCTTTACATATCCTGTTTAGAAGAAGGTTGACTTTCTATATATGTGAATTTGAAGGTACTTGAACTGTTTTCATTGGAGACTTTCAATTGGTACACCTTTTATTCCAGAACTCATTGTTGTACTGATTCAGGTCAAAGTGCAGTCTTCGCAGAACCTGATTGTGGCTGATTCACATGCTACAATTTCAGATAGAACGAAAAAAGTGGATACTGCCAGCAATTCCCAAGATGATAAAAACACAATTGATCCAGGTGTTGAGGTTAAACATGAAGAAGTTGTTGAAAAGCAGCCAGCAGTTTCTCAACAATCTGAGGGAACAACAGAGCATAAGCTTCCTTCTGATGATGAAGATGGAAGGGACATAAATACAGAAATAGAAGATGGTTGGCAACCTGTTCAAAAGCAAAGGTTGGGTGGAGGTTCAAGCCAGCGAATCAAGCAGCGGCGTACAAGTACTTGGAAGACCTACAATTATCAGATGAATGATGTTCCTGGTGAAACTGCTCAATCTAAGCCAAGGTTTTCTTATTTAAATAACCGCTATTATGTTCTGAAGAAAAGAACTGTAGTTCCTGGAAGCTTCAGTGATAATCTTAACATGAAAATCCAGTCACCAGGCACCAAATTTGGTCGGAGAGTATACAGAGCTGTGACTTACCGAGTCAAGTCAGTGCCTTCATCTACCAATCAGGAGATCACTGATAACTATAGGAATGCTGCTGAAAGAATGGCTCCCTCCGTAGATGGTCAGGCACCCTATTTACATCATGACAATGAGGTATTAAAGGATCAGAAGTACCGAACGGGTGATGTTTCTGAGCCGCATAATCATTTGGTTGTTGGTCTCACAAATTCTCCATCATACAAAGATGTAGCTTTAGCGCCTCCAGGAACAATTGCCAAGGTTCAGAGTCTAAAGTCCCTAGAGGATACGCCATTGAAACAAGAGATATATATTGGAAAACATGTATCAGAATTAAGGGACTCATTTGTGAATGAGAAACATGCAGAAAATGCTGCTGAGTTGACTCAGATATCTGATATAGCCCAAGAAAATGACTCTCCCCAGGATGTGGTATTAGACTTGGGGACCAAAGCTGAAATTAAAGGAGAAGGAGAGGGGGTTTGTGAATTGGAAAGTCCACTAGAACCATTAGCTTCAGATTTAGAATTGTCATCTAGCGGTAGCATGCCCATCAAGAGTAGTTTTGACAATAATATACTTTGTAATGAGGTTCAAGAGGTTGAACAGAATGACAGTCATGATCCAAATTTGTCTGAAAATACATCTGGCATAGTTACACTTACACTTGAGTGCTTAACCACTAAACAAAGCAAAGAAGAAAATCATGAGGAAGTCTTGTGTAGCAATGTTCATGTCGGTTCATCCTCCAGCATCCACCAAGAGGATCTCCAAAAGGTTGACATCTCTGAGAAAACTTTTAGTGATGATCCAATGGTAAAATTACCATCTAGTGACAGTGATATCAGAGAGCTCCCTGCTAAGAAGTTGTCTGCCTCTGCTGCACCATTTAATCCATCCCTTCCTGTAGTAATTAATCCTCTTCCTGTAAGTGTTGGCCTTCCTCCTAGTGGTGTGATTCCTACAATGACACCTTGGCAATTGAGTGCTACTCTTCATGCTGCACCAACGGCTGTAATGCCATCCGTGCCTCCTATTTGTACCTCACCTCTTCATCCTTTTGCATCTTCATCCAGGTCTCCCAACATCCTACATCCTTTGCCATTTATTTACCCACCATATACCCGTCCTCAAATTATGCCCAATACCACTTTTGCTATGAACAGCAACATGTTTCACGGAAACCATTATCCATGGCAATGCAACATCGGTCCAAATGCACCTGACTTTGTTGCAGCATCAGTATGGCCTGTTTGTCATCCAGTGGATTTTTCTTCTTTCTCACCTGTGTTAAGTCCGATTTCTGAATCCACGGTGGAATCGACTATGACATCTGATGTAAGTAATGGTATGAGCTTAACCCCTCTGTTGAGCATCAATATTGAAGAAGGAACAAAAACCGACGAGAATAATGAGAAATCACAGGTTATAGACACTGGAAAATCACTGGATGGGAAATTGTCAGAGAAACAGGAAGCTGAAGAATCTCAGAGTAGTAATACAAAAACTACCGAATTGGAATCTGAGACAGATTTCAGAGAAGATGCACAGCCTAGTGGTGAAAAACATGTTCATGAAAGTAGCCAAAAGTACGAGGGTGAGGGGAGCCTTGGCATATACATCAAGGGTAGAAGTCGTCGTAAACAGACACTAAGGCTGCCTATAAGTTTGCTCAAGAGGCCATATGGATCACAGTCATTTAAAGTTGTTTATAGCAAAGTAGTAAGAGGAAGTGATGTAAGACCAGCAAATGCATCTTCCAGTATAGATGCTAATGTCAGTTAGTTGCAAGAAAGAGAATATTGTGACTTCAATTAGCAGGAAGGCAAGATGTTTTCATTTGTCAACTTTTACATCCAGGCGGACGTGACTCGACGTTTGGAAAACGTGCACTTCAGTTTTATTGCTATTTTACGGGGCAAGGGATCTTTTATAAAGAATTCAAACCAAATTCTGATATATTGGACATTCAGAAATGTAAGTGATGCTATCTCTTTGTTGTCCAAGCTAGGCAATTAGTTATTAATTTGCTTCATATATGTTATAGCAGCTATGATGATTTTCTGCTAATTGCATTTACTTAACCAGAATTATAGTTTCTATAAAGTTTAGAAACTAATGATGATTACTTTATTGGATTTTATGTTGATAATCAGTTTACCATTCCATTCTGACTACATAGAGGACTTAAGTGAGTAAGCTGTTTGCATAATACTTCTTAACCACCATGAGAACCAATTATTACTTACACATGGATATTTGCATGAAGGTTTCAAAGAAAATGTGCCAGATGTAGAGGTAAGCAGAGTGGGAGACATGGTGGAGACCAAAAGAAACAAAACTGGGAGGGAAGGAAAACATAGATCATGCTGCAAGAACATTAAACAACATTCATGAAAAGGTTGAAGAAATGGTAGGAACAGTGATAATCACATTCTAAATCGATGCCAAAAGAATAAAATCATAAGGAGATTGTTTCTTAGTGCTGGTAAAGAAATGCTTACAAATGGTATTTCATGCCTGCTACATACAACATGTAGCCCTCAAAATGATCTGGGAACTTAAGGGTTCCTTGGAATCAAGGGTAAAGGGTAAAAGGTGACAACCAAGTGATAAACTCAGACAGTAGTCATGGAAACTAGGGCCTCATATTAATCAGTCTCGATTGTCAACTCTTGCTGTGTTGCTTCAGAATAGAAAGGAGATCTTGTTACCCTCTAATTCTAGTGACTGTTTCTTTCGTGATATCTGTATTATTATCTATTGATTGCATGGTCCATATATCATAGTTAGCTAGTGTAGGTTTTCCTTGGGCTTTTTTAGAGCATAATTCTCTTACTCAAGTGCTGTATAAGGATAGACAACTGTTCCAATGGTAAGTTGCTGGTAGCATGAATAGAAAATATTGGTTGAAATTTGGTTAAAGTAGTTCAAACATTTCCCAAGAAGATTGTTAGATGCATTGACAAGGAGCAAACTTAGATTAGAGATGGTGTGGCACACGCACAGAGAGAGAGAGAGAGAGAGAGAGAGAGAGGAGGGCTTGATCAGAAACAGTATGAAAGTCTCGATAGTTTGCAACTTTGCATTACTGAAGATTTCCCACAGATAGATATATGGTTAAACATTGTAAAATAAACCATTTGTCTTACCAATTTTGTTGGGAGTACTATGCTCTATTTGTTCTCGTTTTAAAAAAAAATTAAAAGAAATTTCATTGCATGAAATGGCATACAAAAATAAAATTTCTGTTTTACATCATAAATCCTAACTTGTTTCCTTCAGATATTTCTTTTATATTCCGATCTATCCATTTTGCACCACAGAATGAGGACATCCATTTGAGCAGCCTTTGTCTTGATAAGTTTAATTTAGGGCTAGCCATTCTCATCAACTGCACATGAGTGTCAGATATCATGGATGACCTCTAATCTTGATTATCAGATTGGATATCCATGTTTAGTTTCCAGTTTCTCTAACCACCAAGTTTCTAATGCAAATTCCAGGGTTTGACTTGCTAATCCAATGCAACCAAATTCCTTTTGCTTAGCTCTTTAGGTTAATGTCTGTTGCTTTTGATCTAATCTATAATTCAATGGCACACATGTATCTCTATCCTCATTGGAAATCTAGCCCACCAAGAATTACCAGTTCAAGTTGCAAAAGACAAAGTATATGCAGAACCACCTATACCAGGTAGTAAATTTCAAAACTGATTGTACTGCTCAATATATGAGATATACTATGCAAGGACCATCGTGCCATGCTGACTGGTGGTATCGATCCATGGGTGGACCAGTATGTACGATGTGCCGGTGCATACTGATTTTTCAAAAAGCTAAAAAATAGCCAAAAAATTTAAAAAATTATTTTTTAGGATTTTTTCCTAATCTATTGGTATATATATTGTATTTAGATAAGAATAAAGTGTATATAAACCATAAATAAATAGGTTATAAGGAGGAAACATTGAATTTATTCTTTCGGATCCATCGAGGAACAACTTTGTTGCACGGGAAGAAGTTGCTTCCATTGATCTTGAATCAACCGATTTGGCATTTTAATCACAAGTAAGAGTGTGAGAATGTGTGTGAGAATGAGAGAGTAAATGAGAGTGAGCGAAAGAGGTGGGAGGGAAGGGGATTTAAAACCTCAAAAGAGGCCCCAACAATCAATTTGATCATTGGGCTCACGCTAGACCCGATTTGGATCAGTATCGAGAATGAGAGTGAGCATAAGAGGTAGGAGGGAAGGGGATTTAAAGCCCTAAAAGAGGCCCTAATAATCAATTTGATCATTGAGGTCAAACTAGACCCGATTTGGATGTATCTATCAAATTTTGATTGGTACCAACCCGTATTGACCAATACAAGACAAGTTTCGACCATATCGGCTGATACATACCCTGTATCAAGGTTTTTAATTTTGTACTGTACCAATGTACCAAGCTTTGCTCGATATGATACGGTATGATATACCGAGCGGTATGCCAAGGCGTACTGAGCGGTACACCTTTCTTTTAAAAAGAAATCATCTCGCATGTGAGTGAGGATGGTTTCTTTTTAAAAGAAGAAGAAACCATCACCTCCTTTCCATCTCGAGAGACAAAAAGGGGGTGATGGCGGAGCGGGTGAGGATGCGACAGGTCGCCTCCGTCCCCAGCTCGAACTCATCCCCCGTGAGGCACTCCACAATGTTCCCACAGCAACCGGATCTGGTCGGGATCTAGCCCAGGGCGAGCTCATCTTCCACTCCCCCGTTGCTGCCGCCTTCAGCAGCGACTGTGAGGAAGAAGACCAAGATGACGGCGAGAGCGAGAAGGGGAAGCAGTAGTCCAACTTGGGCCAGGATCCCTTCCTTCGCCGTTGACTGCGACCTCCCCAACCACAACGGCCACGATCCCTCCGCCCCCTACCACATTTTGCCCGACGAAGCGAGGACCTGCCCTCTATAGTGTTTCCCCCGACGAAGCGAGGACCCTCCCCCTACCGTGTTCCGTTCGACGGAGCACTTCTTCGTGTCTCGCCATATCCAACTCTCTTCTCAGTCATGCCTTCTCCATCGTACGAGTGCCACAGCCTCGTCTTCCTCATTGTCGTGCTCCTTGTCATGTTCGCCTGTTGATACTGCCCGGTAGCGGGTAGTCCGCGAGCCGGTCAATTGGCGGACCGGTACGTACCACTCGTACTGGGCGATACGATTCGAGAATCGAATCCCTGCCCTGTATCAACCACTATGAGGCCATATTTCAGTTTATCGCTCAAAATGTACTGGTCCATGTAATGGTCAATCGATATATACCATCCATTTCATATCATTTTGTGCTATACGTCAAACCTTGATACCATGTATATGGGCTGATATTTGCATAGAATCAATTGGATTTTGGCTAGCATGTGAATGTATAGCTGTGTCTTGCTGGTTAATTTGTTTAACCAGTGAGAGTTAAGTGAAAGAAATGTTAAACTTTGATTATATATTATGTGATTTGACCTAGGACCATTTCTACTCAGTACTAAAGTTTACAGCACATTTTCTTGAAACTCAGATCTGTCCTTTTAACTTCAATAACACCGCTAAATTGACAGCTTTAACATTTATGAATGATCATTGTATAACCAATTTTTCTTTAAGATATCATTACAATGGTTTTATTTTTGTTACTGTCCATCCGCGAAATAGACAGCTTTAACATTTATGTTGCCCTACATCTGCTTGGCACATGGTTGGGTTTTTAACTTGCAAATGAAACTCATAAGGGCTAATGTTTGTGAAGATCTTATTTTGTGTGTGGTTCATCATTGCTATCTGGATAGATGCTTGTCATTTGTCATCTTCATTAAATCTTGGCAGCAGAACTTCTCTGGATAGATCACAGGGTTAAATCAGTGTTTACCACTGAATAGAGGGATTGAAACTTGAAAGCAAGGTTCGTCATACCGTAGCATAGCGCTCGGTACAGGTGTTCCATATCAATCTGATAGGAGACCGGTATGGACGGTACATACTAGTATATCAGTATGTCCCATTGTACCATATGTTGGTACATCGGTACGACTCAATATATATTGTAAGACGAACCATGCTTGAAACGATTACCTTTTTTGCATGATTCATTAATTCAACCTTTTGTTTGCATTTTTTTCCGGTCAGCCTACTGAAGATCTTCATTTTCTTAGCAGGTTTGCAGTATATGTTCTTGAGGTTCATGGAGAATACAATGTCCAAGCCTTGAGATAACTGGAATAGTTTAGAATTTTTGACCAGAATTATGTAGAATCAGGTTGGAGATATTAGCCATCTTTTTTTTCTCCATTGGATAGACAAATATGAGGATCTTTTCTCTTCAGTTTTTTTTTGTTCTCAAGGATTCTATTATTAGTTTTTGCATAAGCCATAATGTTGTAAGTTTTGGGATTTTGTGAATCTCGAGTTTCCTGCCCATCAAAATAATTTTGCACATTCTAAATATAATGTTACAGTTTTGGGGGTTTCAGTACCCAGTGGGAATTCATTTCATGTTTACAAAACTGAAATAATTTGATCCTTTATTAGGATGTCTCTCCTTTTATTTGTTTCTGTTGTAATGTTAAAGAACATTGCTTTAGCTTCATTAGCTGAGTTCCATAATCTGATCGCCGCTCTTGTGGTATCGTGAGTAGGGAGCATGTAAATTGTTTTGATATGCATCAAGGAACTTGCTACTCTTTTACTGGATAGGATTCTGAAATGAGTTTGAATGTTGTCTTATTTTTATCACATCTAACTTGCAGCAAAACTTCATTGTTCAAACGGATCATGTAGCAAGTTGACAACCATAACATTTCCCTTGATATACTTCAAATTAATGTTAGCTTTATTGATCCTCAACTAATAATGCAACATTTGCATGTTTGTTCCTGGATAGAGTGAGTGGCATACTGCTGTGAGACTACTAACCTATTAACATCTTGACTTCAACAGGAAAATTTAGATAGAGCATATTTGAGGTTTAAGCAGGCTATCAGTATCAGCCAATCAATTATTATGTGAGTTACAGCAGATGGTGTCTGAAGTCTGAACTAAAAATAATAATCATTATGGAGAAAGGCAAATGCAAGAATAAATGTATTGGATTCCCATAATAAGGGAATGCAGTTTCTTGCTAGCTTAGAAGCCAGCAACAAAAATTGAGAAGAGACCAAGAGAATGAGAAAGAAAAAATTAACTTGCACAGTGGGTCAGTGGAAGATTAAAAAGAATGATTGCCACTCAGTAACAAATGAGTACTTGTATTGGAATAATTAGCTATTAGAAAGAATTGTGTGTTCCTATAGAAAGCTAACAAATTACTAGAGTTTGAATTCAAACAAAGATTGATTGCAAGAGCTATCAAGGACTTGTATATCTATCTTAAAATAAGTTTGGTGCAAAAAAATTCCCTAGGAGTGGTCCTCAAGATATAGATTGTAAATTTAATTTGAAAGTGGAGGCTGGTAGTCATGTAATAATTATTTGCAAGTTTTGTGTTACTAAGAATGTTCTAAGTTGAAAGAATCAAAATGGTTCCAAAAGATACACTCATGAAATGAGAAGTCCTTGGCATATAATCTTACCATCTACTGTGGTGGTAGGAAGAATTTTCCAGGGACCATGCAATTGTACTCCTGAATTAGCTACAAGTTCATGTGCTAAATCTACTCTGATCTATGTCAGCCAATTATGCCTCTGAACAAGATTCTCCCAAATGGTGTGAATCCATCAGTAAGATGTCTCTATTGTATTACAAGTCTCATTTACTAGAGCATTACTAAACTACTTGTGAGAGAACATTTCAATGAGCTTGGGAAACTGACACTGTTCTACTAACAGCAAGCTGAAGCTGCCATAACCATTCATGTAGGAGAGCAGCACACTTGCAGATCAATTTGACACCAGAAAACATTCTGCTCTAAATAGATAAATCTATTCTGCTGCATGCTCATGAATTTGTTTTACATGAACCTGTTTTGCTTACATAGGGCACATGCAGATCAATCAAAACTAGAAAACATTTTGCTAATTAGTAGCAGGATTAGTATACTCTTATCCTTGCTGTTCTTCACTGAAGGGGAATACGGGAAACATAAACATCTTAGCCTCATGTTCCATCTTACTAACTTTGATACAGAAGCTAAGATTTGTCAAGACATATAGAACTTTCCATAAGAATTGCAGGATGTCAAACTGAGTTGAAGCAGTTGCAGTACACAAATCCACTCACTTCTTCTCGGACATGGGAGTACCACCATCACAAGCCTCCAAGTCTCACTTTCACCTCTGCAATTTGGAGGCCATCAATGATCAAAATGCCGGTGGCTCAGTTGTTTTCTCAGACAATCTTGACCACCACCGCATCGATTCCAGAAGAGCAACAGCTATCGAGATGATGGCTAGGATGATTCCATAACCTATTTTCCAAGAGTTACCAGCTTCTCCAACTTGAATTCCAAGAGCAATGTTGATTGCAGCAAGGAAGATGACCAAACTCCCAACCCAGTGATGGTACCAGTTCCAATGCTTCCGGATCTTGGAGCCTTTTCCAGGTCTTAGGAAAAATGCAGTTACCTGCACAGAAGAAGAAGAAGAAGGAAGAGACTCACATCAATGGAAGTACAAGTAGAAGAGCAAATAGTTTGTTTGGTATCATCAAGATGTTAATACAAACTAGTTTATTCAATTAGTTGCAACAACTCAAGGCAACATGACACCGAATAAAAGTGTGTAAGAACATGTAAACTAGGTCGACAAAACACAGGCTCGAATTCCTGTTATATAAAGAATAAATTGCATGGTCTAGAAAGTTGTTAGTCCAAAGGTCGGTCATTATTCCGAATTACAGAGACAACCTAACCTGATTCGCAAATCTTGTCGCACTTTGAGAATTGTCTAACGGAGTAAATCATCTCTGATTCATTATGTTATGGTCTATTGTGATCGACTTGTTTTGGAGTAAATCATCTCTGATTCATTCTGTTATGGTCTATGGTGATCGACTTGTTTTGTATAGGTTGCCGACCATGTATGAAGTCCTCATAGGGCATAGAATCAGCAAAGCCAAATCCATTTCTATCTAAACCATCCATTGCACGACAGTTCGAAGGACATCATAACAATAACATCAAGATGGTAATAAGTGTCGACTTAATATGTTACTCAGATATGATATAACACACACGTTTGGAGTCATTAGATATGTAAGACTGACCTGAAGAATCCCTAGCACAAGGATAAAGATGCCAAGGCCTCTGTGTAAAGTGACATCCGAATGAAGTCTACGGTGAAGTGCAATTCCAGCAACAACACCGGCAAACCCAGCAAGAAACCCCACAAATTGAATGATGACATGAAGGTAATACCACATTGGATCCCATAGTCTACAGTATCTCGCAACAACTGCTCCCACAGGTAGCAGCACTCCCCATCCAAGTATGCCCAGTGCTCCATGATTCCTCTTCAGCTGATTAGAGTAGGAAGAAGGTTCAGCTACAGTGCCTGCTATGTAAACTGCAAGCTTGTAAGCCATCATTTTCCGGAGAAAAAGAACCAATAGAACTCAAATGAGCATGAAGTACAAACATCACACAGGTGAGTCAATGTGAATGATGTATGACAAAGTTCCAAGGCCAAAGGAATGCAAACGTCTAATGCCAAGAATCAGTAGAATTCCGTTCTTCGTTCTAAAATCTTAACCTAGTTCATCTAAGGGTGAATTTCGACATCTTTGAAATTTATCGGGTGAGATTCGGCATACTCATGTAAGGTAAGTAATTAGATATACCGCTACTAGAGCAATGTTTCTATGTGTTAAATTTATAAAAATAATATTTTGAGCCCTCATCTTAGGTGTAAAAATTTGTCCGATAACGTTTTGATCCCTTAATCAAAGAGTAGGATCTCGACTCTAGACTGATATTATGATCTAAGAAGAATACTTGGTTCTATGTTGCAGCAACACAAAAACAAAAAACCGTTATGGAAGTCCACTATGTTCATTCATTATAAATCAACTGGGAAAATAAATTCCACAGAAATATAACCACTGGTGTGACCGAGAAAGAAGACTCACCTACCGAAAAGTCGAATGAAACCGAAGCCTTGTCGTCATGTTCCATAAGGTAGAACTCAACTGGAGTTGCAGTTGACAAGGCGAATAGAAGTAACTGCTGAGCCATAGGAGCTGAAACATTTAGCTGAAAGGCCAAGTAGATGTTGTTCCCATAGAGAATAACTGCAGGTGCCACTCCGGTTTCTAGTAGTTGACCCTCATCTACCATCACTTCCGAACTAGTCTGGCCACGTAAATAGAACTGCCTGGTGTCGAAGATGTTAGCTAGATTAGACGGTAAAAACTTTAACCGATGATAACGAGGACCGAACTCAGTACTTATCATTTGCCAAAAAGAGAAAAAAAAAATTGCCTGATGTTTGCTCTGCCTCCTATATCGATCCAACCGACCATCGCGCTTGCGCCGGTCATCATTCCGTCGCTTGAGAATCCGATCCCGACCCAGCCAGAAGTATATACAGCAGAGAGGATGATGCTCAAAGTGTTGTCTCTGTTCTGAGAGTACTGAAAGGGAAGAACAGCCAGAATGTTACAAGTGTGAATTGGTCATTATCGATCTGATTCATAGTGAAGTGAATACAATGTTAACAGTTCGAATGATCATTCTTGTGATAGATGTCGAATGGTGGTTCACATTTACAAGTAAAATATTTGAAGCATAAAACAGATAATAAATGTTAGGAGAACTGCATCTTGCTGTAGATCAAAGGTATTTTATCTTTTCATTATTTCCACACTAGTAGGATTCCAGTTTCTCTCATTATTATTTTTTCGATAGATTGTCAGCAGAAATTGTTCCATTTAATATTATAGCATTTGAAATGAGAAACAAAAGATAAATACTTAGAATGATCAGTTTGAATTGGTCATTATCTATCTGATTTAGGAAAGAGAATACAATATTAACAGTTGGAATGATCATTCTTGTGATTGTTGTTGGATGGTGGTTGAGGTTTACAAGTAGAACATTTGAAGCATATAAGATGTGTTAGCACATTATTTCTACATTAGTTGAGGAGAAGACAGCAGATTTGTTGCCATGAAAATATAAGATGTTGAGGAGACAGATTACCACCATAAATTGAACATGAAAACATATGACCTGAACAGGTCTGATCTCTTTTATCAATCAATACATAATGAACCCTAGCAATCCCATATTTTTGCATGTGAATACACCCAAAAGAGTCGATTTTGTTTGTGATAGAAAGGTTGAAGATGGAAAGAAGACCAAATCCAAAGGAATCCATGAGTTGATTAGTTTACCCTGAGGATGAAGTTTCTCCATACCGGCCTACAGTTGAGTTGGGAAGCATTAAAGGGAAGAGGGAGGAAGCTAAGGAAGCTTGAGCTGCAGCTATCCACTTGGGAATGGACTGTCATGGACATGGCTCCCCATGCGAGGAGCAGAGAGAGATAAGCACCACGCAGCATTTGGATTGCAGTCTGAGATTGAGGAGATTGCAGGTGGAGATGAAGGAAGAGCTCGGCAAAGACATGAAAGAAGGGAAAAGAAGGTGGAAGATGAGCTGTTGCTTGCAAGGGAAGATTGTGGGGAGGGGGGTGGGGAATGATGGCATCCGGTGGTGGACGGTGGCGGTGGTGGTGGTGGCCGGAGAACATGATTGCTCTCTCACTGCCAGATGTTTATAGAAGAAAACTATAAATCCTATCAGTACTCAGAATTCCAAACAAGATTATCTATCAATTTTCTTCTTCCTTCTCTTCCACTGCAGCATAAAGAATGTGATCAATCAGCAGTATTTGGTACAGTGGAATGATTCCAATTAAAGATGTTGGATTCTCTCTTTGCAGAAGTTGATTACTGCTATATTTTGTTGTCAGACTGTGAGCTAATCTACTCAAAACATCATTTCTTATAAATGAGCAATTAATGTGATAGAGAATAATTTCAGGTGATACGATCAGCATGAAATTGAGTCATACTCATGTAAACATCAATTTAATTAAAAAAATATCGAAGAAACATTTTATTTATATTGCATAATATTTTTTTCTGATTAAATCGATAAAAGAAAGTTTATCGTCATAATAAAAATCTTCTCTCTTTTTTTTTTCGTTTTATCACTAACTCCTCGTGTAGGTCAATTACAAAATAGTTATTTATTGGATGTATAAAATTTCTTGTGGATAATTCTTCGTGAGTTCTCGTAGTCACGCTGATGATAAATGATGACTTATCATAATGTAATCAAAATAAAAAGTTGTTGAATGTTAGCTCATGTTAATTAGTATTTGGATCCATAAATTTTAAAAATTTATATTGAAATCCATATAGTAATGAAAGTGAAATATTTACATTTATTTATCATAACGTCATCAATTATATAGATAGAAGCACGAAAACGATAGGGAAAAAAGTTAATTTCAACGTCCTAATTAAGTTTTCGATGGTGGCAGATGACGATGCTACTGGTGGCTACGGGTGGTTATTGTGGGTGAGGAGGGAGAGTGATGACGAATGGTGAGGAAAAGAAAAGGACAACATTGCATCTGCGTCGGCGCCGATGCAATTGCCGAGCGACACCAACGTAGATGCAAAGCGACGAAAGGGTGGCAATCTAATGCGAGTCAGACGCAACCTTCCTTTGTTGGGCCTACGACACATTCGTCCATAACACCAACCTCCTCGTGGCTCATCACGTTGGCAAGGTCACCTGTGCTGCTTGCCACTCTCTCGATGTTGGCTGTCATGTCTCCGACACAAGTCTACAGTCGGTCCACCCCCTTTTGTGCTTCCTGCGATCTCAATCTTATTGCCTCCCCTTCACACTTTGTAGCCTCCTCGCCCTCTAGCTCTTCCCTCTCCACCTTCGAGTCCATGGCGGTGCCTCGGGTGAAGAAGCCCTAGATCTTCGACGAACGACCACAAAACGACGACACGGGTGGTTGAGGAGAGAGTGGAGGTCATCCTTCTAGGTTGGAGCTGAAGGATGGGGTTGTGGAGCAGCACCGACGTAGTTGTCAAGTGACGTCGCTCAGCATCATCTGCATTGGTGTCAACGTTGTCGCTCTCCCTCAACAGCCCCTAGTAACGTTGTCATCCGCCACCACTGAAAATATAACTAAGACATTGAAATTACCTTTTTGTCTATCATTTTTGTGCTTTCGTTGATAAAAATGATGATGTTATAGTAAATAGATCTAGATGTTTCACTTTCATAACTATAATGATTTTAATATAAATTTTTAACAGCATTCTTAGCTCACAAGATGAGAATGTAATAGAAAAAAAAAAAACAAACGGTTATGTTGTTTAGAATGTTAGCTCACTTACCTCAATTCTAATAATTGGCCGTCATAGGTAGATCATCTGTCGAGGTCGAGATGGATGGAGTCGAACAGATTCATTTATTCGTTTCCTACTATCACGACCCTCACCCATATCCACAATAATATCGAGGGAATTTATTACTCTTTTAGAGTTCCACGAAGATTTAAAGTTCAATCCTCTCAGATTTAGTTTCTAAGCTTACAAACAAAATACGCCAATCTCCGGCAACCATTAAAAAAGAACAATGAGTTCTTGCAAACACCCAAAGAAAACACAAAAGACTTGAGCTTATCCTTATCATATAAAAGTTTAAATTATTAGAAGAGGACTGATATATCTATAAGCTTTAACATACCCCCCTTTCATTTGGCTATTCATGTGGCAGTGCCCACAGCATGGAGACTGTCCTCGAGGAAGACAGAACAAGCCGCATACGTTGATCCCCCTCGGAGCAGGAGAGAGAGAGAGAGAGAGGGAGGTAAAGAAGAAGCAAAGGCCGTGGACCAGTAGTTGTGACCTGGTGTTTCGTAGCGTAGCCACCTCCCTCCCGAGCGTTCGACGAAATGACAATGACGATCGAGGTACCTCGAAACGATGATGAGGGTCGGGCCCCTTTCGCTCGCAGACCTGCTGCTCGTGTCCCCTTCAACTAGCTGTACGAGCTCGCTCGGGACGAAGCTACACCACGTGGTGTAGCTTGCAAGATTTATCTTCGTATCGGAGAAAAACAAATATGAGAGTTGCGACGGGAGGGAGGCCGGGGAGAAGCCGACGCGCACAGAGAACATGGCATGTCTGCGCACCGGCATCCGTGGAGCCTTTCCAAAGGTCAAGTGACAACAAGTTGTCGTACGTATCCTTCGGTACACTGTCCTCTTACTGGTGGAGAAGCATCGGAACACTGATGAGAACAAGACCCAACTCCACCGCATCATCTAATCATCACCGGACGAATCATGTATTTACTGAGCAGAGGACGAATGAGTAGCTTCCATGTTACCGACATGCATCACCTAAAATTCAATGAAGAACACAGCAACTGTTCATGCACTTCCACCGTAGACCGGTTGGTTTCACCGTCTCAGCTTCTTCTCTGTTCTTTCTTAATCGGAGATCAAATGGACCAACCAAAGCACTTTTCCTATCCTTCCCACTTACTCGTCGCCTATGAAGCACAGACAGGTTGAGGAACTGTTTGTTGCGTGCACTCTCTATGATCGTATCTAAGATGAATTGAGGATGCTGATGAGGCTGTTCTTCTGTTTGCTTCATCTAAAGTGATGGGGGGAAAAAGGACGGAGAGAGGAGCCTACAATGAGTGGTAAGTCAGCAAGCACCCCGTGGGAATGCAGAGGAACAAGGTGGGCTTAGACATGGCGAGGTGACCTAATCTTCCTCCCAACTCTTCTTCCCAAGAAAGGGTAACACACGATCCACAGTCTTCTCCATTACAGTCTGAGGTATATATACACACGATAGCTTTACTCGGCACTCCGCCCACCTCGTCCCTCGATATGATGATCTCCTCGGTATGCAGCACATGCTCTGTTCCCCCGCCTCGGCTTTCTCGTCTTTGATCTTCCAGTTCAACGAATGCCAAATAAATACTGATGCAGCTTCGTATCGTTCATCGATCGACTCTATCTTGTGTTTACTTGAAGGCTTTAAAAAGGTCGTGGCTCTTCTGACATGTTAAAGCACAAAAGTGAGGCTTCAAAGGCATGCATGGCTGTGGAAGCAAATGGGGATCGATCTTTGTGAAGACAATATAGCACTTGTGGCTGAGGAGAGGAGACAATCGAGTCGAGAACAGCTCATGCAGCGGCAGGACATGGACCTCTCACCAACCTTTGGCTCGCCCTTATAAGCGTCGCTGAGACTCTCCTTTCTCTGCTCCTCTCTCGCTTGTCTCTCGCCCATCTCTTCTCTTTCTTGGAAGCACATCCCAGAGATGGGATATGGCCGACTCGGCTCGTCCGAGTCAGTTCCCTCCGTTTCCGATCTCCGGCCGAGTCGCGACGCGTCGGCGACTCGCAAGCGACGATTCCTGTGGCTTACCGTCGTCTTCGCCGTCTTCCTCCTCGTGGCTTCCGGCGTCTCGGTGGGGCTCGTCGTTCGTGGCCGGATGCGGTCGAACTCGCCTGCGACTCGGGCGCCGACACAGGCCATCGCCCGCGCGTGCAGCCTGACTCGGTACCCGGCTCTGTGCGTGAGCTCCCTGCTCGACTTCCCCGGCGCGCTCCAGGCCGGCGAGCGCGACCTGGTGCACATCTCCCTGAACATGACGCTCCACCGCGTGGGCGCCGCCCTCTACGGCACCTCCGCCATCGCCGGGTTCGCCATGGACAGGCTTGCCCGCGCCGCCTTCGACGACTGCATGGAGCTGCTCGAGGAATCCCTCGACCAGCTCTCCAACTCTCTCCTCGTCGTGGCCCCCCCCGTGTCGCCGTCCCCGTCCTCCCAGGCCCGGATCAGGGGCGCCTCCGACGAGGACGTGCTCACCTGGCTCAGCGGCGCGCTTACCAACCAGGACACCTGCGACGAGGGCCTGCAACAGGTACAGAATCTCTACATCAAGGAGCACATGGAGAGCCACATGAAGGACCTCGCCGAGCTCGTCAGCAACTGCCTCGCCATATTTGCGGGCGTGAGCAGGAACAAGGACTTCTCCGGCGTTCCCATCCAGAACAGGAAGAGGAGGAAGCTACTGAACGCCATCGACGACGACGAATTCCCGTCATGGATGGGGAAGAAGGACAGGAGGCTGCTACAGATTCCGGCAGCGAACATCCAGGCCGACATGGTGGTTTCGAAGGATGGAAATGGCACCTACAAGTCCATCGCGGACGCTGTGCAGGCCGCGCCGGATTACAGCAGCCGCCGCATCATTATCTACATCAAGGCCGGCCGGTACGAGGAGAACATCAAGGTTGGAAGGAAGAAGACGAACCTCCTCTTCATCGGCGATGGTAAGAACCAGACGGTCATCGCAGGATCGCGAAGCGTGTATGACAACTTCACCACCTTCCACACCGCCACCTTCGGTACGCCACTGCGTTGTGCTTTGCCATGATCGAATCGCTTCGAATCGAATTGAGCTGAGGAAGAAATTGGGTATTTGCAGCGGCGACGGCGACGGGGTTGATAATGAGGGACATGACGATCGAGAATTGGGCGGGACCGGAGAAACACCAAGCGGTGGCGCTCCGGGTGGGGGCCGACCACGCGGTGGTGTACCGCTGCAACATCATCGGGTACCAGGACACCCTGTACGTGCATTCGCAGCGGCAATTCTTCCGGGAGTGCGACATCTACGGCACCGTCGACTTCATCTTCGGCAACGCCGCCGTCGTGCTGCAGAACTGCAGCCTGTGGGCGCGGAGGCCGCTGCCGATGCAGAAGAACACCATCACGGCCCAGAACCGCAAGGACCCCAACCAGAACACCGGCATCTCCATCCACGCGTGCCAGGTGGTGGCGGCGGCAGACCTGGAGCCAGTGAAGGCCAGCTTCTCCACCTACCTGGGCCGGCCATGGAAACTCTACTCCAGGGTGGTGTACATGCTGTCCTACATGGGGGATCACATCAACCCGGCGGGCTGGCTGGAGTGGAACGGCTCCTTCGCCCTGGACACGCTCTACTACGGGGAGTACATGAACGACGGGCCGGGGTCGGCGCTGGGGATGAGGGTGGCGTGGCCCGGGTACAGGGTGATCACGCTGCCGGCGGAGGCGAGCAAGTTCACGGTGGCGCAGTTCATCTACGGCTCCTCGTGGCTGCCATCAACCGGAGTAGCCTTCTTGGCTGGCCTCGAGACGTAAATGGTCATTCCCATCGAATCCGAATCCATCCATCATTCTCCTCTGCTCTCCTAGTTCTTCGAGTTCTCATTGTCTTTTTATCTTCTGAAGAGTATGGTATAGTTTTTCTTCTTTTCTTTTGGTTCTTTCAGAAAGGAAATAACTCCAACTTGCTGAATTCATTAACTGTACAATGGGCAGAGTTACTCGTTCCAACTCAGCTTTCTGATCTCGACATGTCTAAATCGTATGTATGATCCACCACTAGATTGTGACATGGATTACAGTAAGCTTCATCTTCCTCTTTGTAATGCTCCGAGAACAAGAACGAAATGGTCATTGTTTCCTGCTGGTCGATGGAAATGGACGAGAAGCTCGCAGGGAATCAAAGACTCGAGCGTCTGCGTCATGAGGAGGGGGGGTGATGGGAATGGACGAGTGTGAGCTGCAGTCATTGGCTTGTCATGGTGTCTCGAGTGGGTGGAATCCTGACATGATTTCCTTGGCCACAACTGTTCTTAATTCCCAGTGGTCATCACATCTCTTCTCCCACTGCTCTGCTCATACCAAAGGGTGGGTAAAAGGATCGTTGAGGTTCCCGTCAGAAAGGCAAAGGGCTAAAAGTAGGAGGAAGACTCGATCGAAGCTGCCATGGTTACTTGGTCTGGAAGAAGCAGGAATGCTGAACTCATTGACTAAAGGGATGAAGAAACAAGCTAGAGAGAGAGTGACAGAGGGCTCACATGGCGTCGCCACGTAGTTTATATCCATTGACTGCTCTCTTCTTCTATTCAACCCACTGATGGGCAGCAGCTCTTCACGTGGAGCTGTCGGTGGGATGCAATGATGCAGCTTCTGAAATTAAAACCAGGAGACAAAGGTAGCTCCTCATAATTTATATATATATATATTTTTGGCTAATATTTTATAAAAATAATTTAATTTAGTCTAATTAAATTAAAATAAGAAAGAGTCGGTGATGTAAGATAAGATTTGTCAACCTTACTAACCTAGTCAACGATAAAAATGGAATTCGATCTTTGACCTCCCTATCAAATTTAGACTAGCTAGCATCCTCCTTCCTTTATTAACTTTAATTGTAAAGAGATCCTCTATGACCAAAAATTAGAAACTAATTACAAATGTTAAACAAATTTTTAATAAAAATATAAAACAATATATATATATTGATAAAATGAAATAATTTTATAAAAATTTTACCATATATGAAAGTTATAGAGATTCTATGTAAGGTGGGATGGAGAGGACCTCAATGATTAGTAGGGGAAATGTTGCCCCCAAAAAGAAAAAAAAGAAGAAAAAAAGCCAAGGACAAAAAGAACCAGAAAAAAAAGGACATAAATATATTGGAGGAGAGTGACCATGTTGCTTCAATTATTCTAAGTGGATACAGGTATGGATCTTGATTGTGACATGATTTGGTTTTAGCTTCAGTTGAGTGGGAGCAGGAGATATAAATAAAATAAGTAGCAGTTTTGACTCTTCATTGATTTTGTTACTCGGAATTTTAGATGGAGACTAGAATTTTGAGTTATGTAATTGTAATTGGAGTTACATCATAGAAAATGAAAAGGAATGAATAATAATAATAATAATAATAATAATAATAATAATAATAATAATAATAATAATAATAATAATAATAAT